GGTGATCCGACTTTTGCTGATTTGATTATCGGCTCTCTTGCCCCTATCTCGTCCCCCCATCCCCACACTCTCTTCCGCCCCTCCTCCTCCTCCTCCTGCTGCTCCTCCTCCTCCTCCTCCTCCTTCCCTCTCCTCCTGCCCCTCCCCCTCATCGTCCTCCTCCTTCTCCCTCCTCCTCCTCCTCCTCCTCCTCCTCCTCCTCCACCTCCTCCACCTCTCAAGTGCCTTTTCTGGCCCAGGTCGCCAGATTGTTCCCTGGGCTGTACCAGACTCGTCTGTGCTCACTAGAGGGCCTCTTTGAGGTCAACGCAGGGAAGATTTCTCGTGTCAGTTCGCATCTGGGGCCAAGTGCCTTCGTGGCATCCGCATCCACATGCTCAGTGAGGCCAGCAGCCGCGTGCTCAAGAGGGCAATTCGTTGCGCACTTCCTGCGGCTGCAAGAAGAACAAAGCGTCCTGGCAGCAATGCGAAGTTTGCTGGGTTGACCGTGTCGCTCCAGGGTGCGAGCCTCCGCGTCTTCCGAGCGGAGTCTGGGCCAAATCCTGTCACGCTTGAACAGTGGCCTGCCCCCGCGCATGGTCCTGTGCCGCTTCCTGCTCGTCCTGGCCTTCTGTTCATGGCTGGCGGTGGTGGCGGGCCTCATCACTCCGGCGGGCCTCAGCCAGGCGGGCACCATGCCTTTGCCACCCCGGAGAGCGAGGTGAAGACGCTCAAGGAGTTGTGCACGCAGCTTGCTGCTATGGGCGACACCACAGGCGCGGCCAAGTACAAGGAGCTGGCTGCCAAGAAGGAGGCGGAGATTGCGAGCCATCGCCAAGCCCCCCAAGTCAACAGGGCGTTCCACGACATGCGTACACTCGAGGGCAGGTCGTCGAAGGCTGTCTGGGCCTATGCCTCTGCGCCGACGGCCGCTTTACTCGAGGATCGCCGGGGTCGCGTCAAGTCCTTGCCTCATGAGCTGCGTGAAGCGGAGCAGTTTCACGAAGGGTTGGTGGAGCAGTTGCATTCGACAGTGGCGCCCAAACCTTCTGCATCAGTTCTTCCAGGCTTATCGATCGAGTCCGTTCTCGCAGGGGCGGAGGTCAACATTTCTTTCGTGTCCATCGACGCGTCGGCGTATGACCCGTCGGAGGCTGACAAGAAGGAGTTCGAGGAGCGTCGTAGTCGTTTGCAGGGTGACCTGCAACAAGCGATCAAGCAGATGCTCGGTGATGCTATGGAGAAGTTCAAGCAGCGGGAGCAGCAGTAGAAGGACGAGATGGCCAGGTTGGCGGCCAAGAGACGTAAAGGGGACCTCGGACAGGGCCTTGCGGGTGGTTCGTCGGCGGACACTTCGACTCCGACGAGGGCGAGCAGCACTCCTGGTACTACGGGATCATCGATGGCGGAGGGAGGAGCGGCCGATGCTGAACGCGGGCCTTTGGCCGCTGAGGGCGAGTCGTCTTCTGAGCCGAGTGACTTGCGGGAGCGAGCTTCGGCCATCGCCAGGTCTTCGCCGCCGCCGCCCGTCGCCGGCGTGGCCCCTGTTGGGTCTACCCCCCCTCGGACGACGAGGCCATGTCGGACCTTTGATGGTTTTGAATGCTGTGCTGATTCTTTTTTCTTGAGGCTTGTGTCCCTTGGGCCTTTTTTTTTCTCCCCTTCGGGCTCTCCTGGGGGGGCCTGGGGGCCCGCGCGTTGGTCGCCGTCTATGGATGCCCCGCGTGTCGGCCGCGTGGAACAGTTGCTCTTCTGCTTCCTCGCTGGATCTGTCAGGGTTGGAGCCGCCCCGTTCTAGTCTAGAACGGCCCCGCTCTACTCCAGAACCGCCGTCCTTCGGAGCAGAGCCGCCCGTTCTACTCTAGAACCACCCCTGTGCGCTGAAGTTTCTGAGATTGGGGTCATCGAGGCTTCGCCTAGGTCTGGCAATCCCAGTCACCCCCGCCTGGACCCCGACTTTGGGCTTCAGGTTTGCTTTCCAAGGGTCTCTTTTTCGCGCGGTTCGTCACGCCCTGGCTAGAGCCGACGCGGCTCTGCACCCCACATCATCGAATTCTGCAACGTGTCGGGGCGGGGGTCGGGTCAAACCTGGATGGAGACGACGGAAGCTCGCTTTGCTTTGTTGCATGAGCACAGGCACGTCGAGCATGAGTGTGCACCTGTATCGAGTTGGGCCACCAGACACGGATGGACGTCGTTGTAGTCGCCAGCTACTACAGGGCCTGGCGGGGGACATTCGGGAGGCGTGGCCATCCTGGTGAGGAGTGGGCTCGGGCTACGTCCCCGTGCTTCTGGACATGAAGTGGTGCTTACGCGCGTGGCCGCTTGTATCGTCGAGCTTCCTGGACCCTGTTCCATCCTCCTGGTGCCCTGCGACTTTCACGATAGCGAGGACCTCTCGGCACGAGACATCTCCGTGCTCTCTGCTGCCTGTTCCTTGGGGGAGGGGCCCTGGGATTTACGAGCACCGTTGGAATGGCAGTTCAACACAGAACCCTCGGTTGTCCGGATTGGGCGCGCAGGACTTGGGCAGCCCTACCCTTCTTGCGTCGGGCGAGCACGCGTGCCGTATCACCGTGGGCTTGAAGCAGATGGATTTTTCTAAGGTCAGTGCCGAAATGTCGCCTTCGTTGCCGAAGACATTTCTCAAGCACGCGGCCTTTCGTGGGCTGGAGTGGGACTTCGGGGGTGGGGGGGACTCAACCTGAATGGGGGGGGGGTGCGTCGACGGAGTTTGGAGATGGCTCCAGAGCTCGGCTCAGCCCCTTCTCAGGAAGGTTGCGTGAGGTCTCGGCTCTGTAGCGCCATTCATACCAGGCAGCGCGCTGCCGACTTGGCATGCGTTATACCAGCCACGCCGTGCCCGCTGCGCCTCGGCGCGGAAGACGCATTAAGGCATCGTTCATGGCAGCGCGCGGCGGTGTCGAGCGAGAGCGAGGCGGCCAGGGACAAGGAGGAGGTGGGCGGAGGACGCGGACGAAGTGCTCGCGTGCTTCGGAATTTTCAACCGCCTTGCCGAGCCCCCCCCCCCCCCGCCCTCATCAGTCGGCTGGTGTGCAAGTCGAATGGGTTTCTCTCCCTGGCGGGGGGGCCGCGCTCGACGACGCGTTCGTCGGGGATTTATGTGTGTATGCACATGCTCACGGACGGGTCACGCAGCAAGAGTGTCACCCCCGAGCTCGGTCGCGCGGATTGGGCCTTCTCGCTCTGGTATCGTGACACAGGTGTCGAGATTTTTGTGAGCGCGGGGGCCAGTCCGGCCACCGTGTCCACAGACGGCGCAGGCCGCTGAGTTGCTGGCTTACTCGATCGTGCTGCAGTGGCCGAGTGGTCATTGCGAGTTCCATGTTGGTTGCAAAGCCTGCGTTGATTGTCATGCCCTTCCGTGGGAAGAGTAATGTGCTCCAAAGCGCGCGCGCTGGAGTGGCTGTCGAGAGTTTTCCCAGCGGCGCAAAGTGCACGAAGTCAAGGCCTCCAGTCCGTCGACAATCGCTGGGGTATTTTGCTTGCGTCAAGGCAACCATGCTGTCGACGTTTCGGCGTAGCTGTGTTGAACCACCGACAGCCCGACTGCGCGGAAGTTGAGGATGTAGATTGCAAGCTGGTCACTGCGAGAGCTCTGGACATTCTGGCCGCGCAGGTCTTACAACTCTGGCCGCGGTTCGGTCTAGGGCCGAGCGCGCAGAGGGCCCATGTTGCCGCTCCAGTGAGCAAAGAGCAGGGTCCGACGCGCGCTCGGAGCTGGACGGGACGTGTTTGGCAGTGTTCTAGGTGTTTTAGTGGGCCACATTCAGCCGACAAGCCGCCCGCGAGTTTGTGCCGCGGTGGCGCGGGCGTCGGGATCCGTGGCATGGATGCTCGTCGTTTTCTGGCCTGGGGCGCAGCATGCTGTTTCTTGGCGCCTCGGACGGCAGTGCTGTGCTTGTGCGCCTCAAGTGCATGTTCTTCATTGAAGGTGGGCAGGTTCGAGGCCTCCGACAGCCCTGCCAGCCGATCCCGAAGGCTGGAGCTCAGGGTCGGAAGCATGCCTGGAGGCAGGTTGCGAGGGGGCGGCGCCCCAGGCGCGGAGACGTCACGGTCCCTGTTGGCCCCTGGGCCAATTTGGAAGAGGAGGAGGCCCCCGCTCCCAATGTTGTGTTTCCCCCACCCTCGGCCTTGGAGGAGGAGGATGCTCGCGAGGGGCGCTGGGCTGATTTAGCCCAGCGCCTCCTCTCGGCTGCCACTCCGGGCCGGCCTGAGGATCTTGGACGTTGCTGGCAAGGGCGAGCGCGCGCCGTTCCCCACCGCGGGGACAGCGACGCGGATTTGGAGTCAAGGAGCTTGCTCCATATTTGTCTGGTCAGTTGTTGGGGTCGGGGGTCGGGGGCCGGGTCCTGTTCTGGAGTTGCCCCGTACCCGCCTGGCCCTACCTTGTGGTGTCTGGCTGGACTTCGCCTTTTAGTTTGTGCGTTGCTGGCTTGCGCCAGCACGCTGCTTCTCGCTGCGGTTGCAGCGGCGCTGTTCAGACATGTAGGGGACTGCCTCATATTTGTCAGGGTGCATGGTGGAGTCGTCGGTCGGGTCCTGTACAGGGGTTGCCCCGAGACAGCACTCGCTCGTTCTAGCCTAGAACTGGCCCGTTATTGGCCAGAACGGGGCCGTTCTAGTCTAGAACGGGGCCGCTTCAGTCTAGAATGGCCCCCTTTCCTGCCCTGCTGGCGCCAGGCAGGGCTCCGCCTTCTGTTTTTTTCTCGCCTAGCCTGTGTGCGCGGGTGTAAACTCGAGCCTGCCTGTTGAAGGTCGGTCTGTGTTGTTGTTTTTCGCCTCGGGGGTCACGCCTTCCCCTGAGGTGACGCGCGGGCTACATGCTGCGCTGCGGCAGAAAATCCGTCTCCTCCACCTCCTCGGCCTCTCTCCTCCTCCTCCTCCTCCTCCTCCTCCTCCTCCTCCTCCTCCTCCTCCTCCTCCTCCTCCGCCTCCTCCTCCTCTTTTTCTTTCTCTTTCTCATCCTCCTCCCTTTGTTGGCCCCCCGCCGCCGCCAGCCTGGCTGCTGGCCAGCGCCCTGGCGCCCCTGGGCGGCGCGTCGCGCCTGGCGTCGGAGGCCGCGCCCTCCGCGACGGGGGGCGGTGCCGTCGTCGCAGACGACGGCGACGTCGTTGTGCACTGAAGTCGTGCATGTCCCTCTACAGGAGGAATGTCCCATAAGAGTGGAACAAATAGTCTGGGGACGTCTGTTTGTACCCTTTTTTGGCCAGTGTGGACATGTTCTGACGCTCTTCATTTTGCTTCCAGGATCCGATGAATAGTACAGCCAGGACCCTGAAATGAGACGGCGCGGGAGGGGCTGGGCTCTGGTAGGCCCAATCGAGTGGGCTGGCGCTGGGTTTCCCCCTGCGTTTCGTCGTCCTCTGCGCCCGCCTGTTGCCCCAGGGGCCCGTCTCCTATCACGGCCGCGGCTCGTCAGTACAGACGCCCGTCGCCAAGGCGCAGCGGCCAGGCCCTGCCCTCGCAGGCACTCTTGGGGGCGCCACCCGCCTCTGGATCCCCTCTTGTGGGCACGGAGGCAGGAGTGGCGCGTGGCGAGCATGCCCGGGAGGGAGTGAGGTTGAGGTGCTCTGGTAGTTCGGGCCGCTCCTTCGATAGGGGATCGGGGAGCCGACACGCCGGTCGTTGAACGTATGTCTTACTGAACGCCCAGGGTCCCAATCTACTTCAAGCGCCGCCCTACTTCCACATCGGTGTGCTGTTGCTGTGTTTGCATTATCTTCTGGGAGGGCCTGAGCCCAATCTGCTTCAACTGTCCTGCGTCAAGTGTTTACCTGCCTCTTCAGACCGACGTGCATCCTCGAAGAAGAACAGTTGCACAGCCTACAGATGTGGGGAGGTCCGCGCGGATTTTTCTCTGGATCGGTCCTGCCCCCCCCCCGTCCCTTTTGCGGCGCCTCCTGCGGCTGGCCGTGGCGCGCGCTTTCCGTTCCCGGGAGGCGGGGCCGATCCAAGAGGTGTCTGCACGGAGCTCCGAGAGCTCATGGGTGCCCTCGATGGCGCGAAGTGATTCGCGCTTCGCGGTTCGGCTCCGATGCTCACCGCCCACCAAAGCACCCCAACCCAACCCGAAGCCATCAATTTGCCTTCCATTTCCAGTGGGGGGGGGTCGGGGAACGTTGAAAAAACACATGGTATCCGTGCCCCCCCCAACCCGAAATTCGGGTCAAATTCGGGTCTTCGGGTTGGGTTGGGGTGGTCTGGTAGGTAGTCAGATGCCTCGTCCTCCTCTTCTCCCCTGGGAGGCGGCGCGGGAGCGCGAAGTGATTCGCGCTTCGCGCAGCGCGGAGCGCGAAGTCTGGGAGCCCCTGGAAAGCTTATGGTGATGCAGTTGCTCTTCGCTGTTCGCGGCCGAGGCCTCAGATGTTCTTCTTAAAAAAGGGGGCGTCTGATTCAATTCCGTTTTCGAGATCGACGTTTCTTTGTGATATGGGGTTTTTTTTTTCCGTTTTGGGATTACCGAATCACCGTTGTCCATTTGTGTTGCCATCTTTCAAAACAAATTTGTTGTAATTGCCATATGCTTATTATGTTGTCTGGCCATGTCAATTGTTTTGTATGTTGGATGTTGTTTTTGTTCCGTTTGGGGTTGTCGTTTTCAGCTCGTTTTTGGGCCTGGCCGGTGTGTTGTGTTTTTGTCCCTGTTTGGAGTTGTCGTGTTTTGATCGTGCTGGGCCTGGCCGGTGCCGTTGATGTTTTGTTTTGGGGCTGCCGTGTTTTCGGTTTTTGTGCTGGTCAACCGCAGCACGAGGAAAGTTGATCGAGGGATCGAGGAATTCAAAGATCGAGGAATCGAGGGATCGCACGCCCCCAAATGAGGCCGGAGAGAGCGCCGTTTCGTTCTTGGCTGGTGCGGTAACTCACTCTCCGTCTTCGTGCAGGGCCGCAGGGAACCGCTCTTGTTCTCGCGGCGACAACTGGGTTTGGTCCTGACACCTCCTCCTTCTGCACGTCCCCTCCTCTTCCTCCTCCTCCTCCCTCCTCCTCATCCCTCCTCCCTCCTCCCTCCGGCCTCCTCCTCCTCCTCCCTCCTCCATCCTCCTCCTCCCTCCTCCATCCTCCTCCTCCCTCCTCCTCCCTCTCCTCCTCCCTCCTCTTCCTCCCTTCTCCTCCTCCCTGCTCCCTGCCCGCGGCGGAGAATAGGACTGGTCCTAAGACGTCTTTCTCCCTCCTCCTCCTTCTCCTCCTTCTCCTCCCTCCTCCTCCTCTTTCCTCCCTTCTCCTCCTCACTCCTCCTCCTGCGTCGTTGTTGCGAGGCGGGTCTCGCAGACATAAAAAGTCATATCCCCCCTGTTAGTGGGACCCCAGTCCTGCAATAAGGCCGCCAAACAAACAATTTGTTACCCCCTAATGGGGGGGTGTTCTAAAGACCCTTCAGGGTTAATGAACGGGGGTCAGCTCTAACGAGGGTCAGTCGAAATTCGAGGATCAAAATGTTCCCTCAACGTCAACCCTCGGGGGCCCGCCTCAGGTCCTGGGTCTGTCGGGACTCGACCGGGGGTAAAAACACATCTCTGGATGGTCTCCCAGAGAGGTGCGGGGGGAGATGTCTTTTGGACTTTTAGGCTGGATCGGGTCGCAGGCAACCGCCCCCTCGGCCCTCGGATCCACGATCCCCGCTCGCCTCCCCTTCTCTGACCCGGGTGTGGGAGCCGGTTCTTGGCTCCCCCAGGTTCTCGATGAGGTGTTGGTTGACCCGGGTTCGCGCGTTGCCGATGTCGTCTGCGATGTCGTCTTCGCTGTCGTTTCACTTACTCGTCCTCGTTGTCGCCGTCGTTGTCGCAGACGTCTCCGTCTGCGTCGTAGACGTCGTCGCCAACGTCGGCCTTGTGGTCGCTGTCCTGGACAAAGTTGACGTCGTCGTAGTCGTCGTCATCGTGGTCGTTTCCGTCTCAGTCGTCGGCGTCGTCGTTGTCGTACAAGTCCTGACGCAGACGCCTTGTCCTCCCCCCTGTATCTCATTCTTCCTCATCCTCCTCATCCCTAATCCTGCCTCCTCCCCCCTCCTCCTTCTCCTTCGTCCTCCGCCTCCAGCATTCTTTATCCCCCCGCCCTCCCTCCTCTTCCTGCTCCTCTGGCCGCGCGGCCGGGGCGCCCGTGGCCGGGGAGGCCGGGTTCCACCCGAAGCACCACGGTGGCCACAAGTTCGGCAGAGTTCACCACGGGGCGGGGGGGAGTGTCAGAGTTGGCAGCAGCACGAGCAGCAGAGGAGCGAGACGTACCCATCGGTCGTTGAAAATACAAGTATTTTGGGATATCCAGATTCCAATCTACTTCAGGCGCCTTCTTTCTTCAATGATCGATTGGCTTCACCTGTTTCGTTCTCTTTAGGGGGCGCGCGGAAACCCAGTCTATAGTCAACGCCTTCCTACTTCATGTTTCTACCTACTTCTTCCGACCGATGGGTAGTGACAACGACAGGCTTCAGTGTTTCTGGGCTGCTCCCGGAGCAGCCTGTCTGTAATGCTCCTGCGTTTGTGCTCGAGCCCCTGGTGGGGGGCGCCAGGGTCCCCAGCTTTGACGGCGAGCGAGGGTGGGGAAGTGAGAAGGAGAAGGCCTCCTCAGAAGGTTCGGAACTCCCCGGGCCTTCTGAGAAGTTTGCTAAGCCGTCCCCGAAGACGGAACAGAACTTCTCAGAGGTTGCGAGGGTTTCTGAGAAGTCCCGCCCCCCTCTGAGAAGGCTTTCTCCTTCTCCTTCTCATTTGAGAAGGCCCGCCGCCTTCTGAAAAGGCCTTCTCCTTCTCACTTCCTCCTCGCTCGCCGCCGGCAGAGAGGTGGCGCAGGGTTGCCGGCCATCGCTGCCCCCCCCCCCCTGTGCGGGGCCTTTGGGGTCGTTGGCTCCTCGCTTCCCCCTGGATCGTCGCCCTCCTTCCTCCTCATCCTTCCTCCTCCTCTTCCTCCTCCTCTCCATCGCGTCCCCCCCCCCTCCTTCGTCGTGGTGGCCTCTGCTTCGCGTGGCCCCTCGTCGTGGCCAGCCCCCCACGGCGGCCGACCCCCCGCGGGGCCCTCCCCCAGTGGTGGCCCCGCATCCAAGAACACAAATCCGCACGGAGCTCCGAAAGCTTAGGGTGGGTCATGCAGTTCTTCTTCGATAGTTCTTCGCGGCCGAGGCTTCTCAGAGGTTCGTAGAAGACGCGTGGGGCGTATGTTTTTGTCGTTTTCGAGATCAACGTGTTTCTTGTTTTCCTTTGTTGTGGGGGCCGGGTTTTTCTCTGTTGCCCCCCAATCGTGCCCCCCCCCCCCTCTCGTGGTACGCCCCCACCGTGGCCCTTCCATCGTGGCTCCCCCCCCCTCGTCTTGGCCCGCCATCGTGGATGGCCCTCCGCCCGTCTGGTCTCCCATTTCTCATGCCCTCGCACGCTCGCACGGACCCTCTGCACCACTCCGCACACCGCTATCGAGACGGTTGCGGCGAATCGTCGACGCACCCTGCGATTTAGGACACGCCTATGGGGCCGCTCGTGTGGGCAAAGTGTGGCCACGCTGTTGGACCATGCGTTCCCCCAGCGAGGAGAAGCCCGAGGAGACCTCTTGGAAGCTTCTTGGGTCACTCTGGGGGCCTTCTGGGAGCTTCCTGCGGGCCTCTTGGGGGCCTCATTGGGCCTCTTGGCGACTTTCAGGGGCCTCTTTGGGGCCTACTTGGCCGTCTTATGTCTTACAACAACGTGCCCACTCCCTCTTCACTGGTACCCGAGCGTGGGCTTGAAAAGGAGGAGTGACGAAGGGCCCGCGCTCATTTGCACCTCCAGACTGGCCGGCGTGGCGGGGAGGCGAAGCACCCCGGCAAGGCGCCCAAGAAGGCCGCCGTCCCAGCGGCGTCCGCCCTGCAGGCAGCCCAGCTTTTGGACAGTTCTTGTGTCGAAGAAGAAGAAGACGAAGAAACACCGCCATGAACAGAAACTTTTGGCGCTCCGCGCGAACTTCTCGCATCCGCACTGGGCCCCCCCCCGGCGGCGCCTCCAGCGCCGCCCACGTCGCGCCCCGCGCGCCAGGGAGGGGGGCCCAGCGCAGATCCAAGAAGTCCGTGCGGACCGCCAAAAGTTTATGTTCATGGCGTCTTGTGGTCCTCTGCTGTGGCCGCGTCCGTCTGCTGCGCAGCTAGCTCCTCGCGGAACTCGGGGGGGGGGCGCCCAGGGCCGCCTCGAGGGAGGGGGGGAGGGAGGGAGGGAGGGCGGGAGGGAGGAGGCGGAGGAGGAGGAAAAGTGCAAACCCCAGATTCATCAACGATCTTGCAAGAAACCTTCCCTCCGAGCCCCCTTTTTCACAGGCCCCCTACAAGGATAGATTTTCACTGAAAGAAATGGCCCGTTGGAGACCAACTGTTTTCAAATCTTGAACTGGGTCAGACAACCATGTCTTGGCCTGCAACGCCGCGAACCACCCAGGCTGTTGCGTCTTGACGATCCCGAATCGTGCCAGCACGCCGTTCATGGGACTTCAACCCCACGAATTACCACATCAGAACGGTTGCGCCTGGACAGTCGGACATCGTGCCAAAATACTATTTTGGGGACGTTAACCATGAGAACCTTTGTCATTGATTTGAAAAATAAAACGATTGTTCGCGGCACTAAGAAGACAGACACAGTTTTAAGAGGAACCGCCTTCCATCCGTGACGCTCTTGCAATTCTGTTTGGACGGATGTGCGCGCCGTGGAGGCGCGAATCGCACACTGAACCCCACCCGCCAGGGATCCGCGGAGCTCTTGCAATCTGTCGGGGCGGATGTGCGCGGTGCCGAGCGCGAGAGCCAGATCTCGAAGGCGGCCCGCCCTCCATCCAGCCGCGAAGCTGGCGCAACTCCTGAGCTTCCGGATCCTAATAGGGCCAGGAGGTCTCGGGCGAAATGCCCCGCCCGCCCTTTTGGACCAGCCTCGGGGTGCGACATGGAGGCGCTGCAGTCGGCCCGTGTCGCAGGCATCCACACAAGGACCTTGGAAGGCCATGTCGAAGCTTCTCGAGCGGGGCGCGGCCAACGAAAGGGGCCAAGGATGACCCGAGGAGGAGGAGGAGGAGGCGGAGGAGGAGGAGGCGGCGGAGGAGGAGGCGGAGGCGGACGATGATGATGATGATGATGATGATGATGATGATGATGAGGAGGAGGAGGAGGGAGGAGGAGGAGGAGGAGGAGGAGGAGGAGGAGGAGGAGGAGGAGGAGGAGGAGGAGGAGGAGGAGGCAGGGATGCAAGGGTACCCCTGTGGGAAGGTTGCCCGTCCTTGCCATGCAGGTGCATGGCATCCGGGAGCGGAAGCGAGGAGTGGCAGCGAGGAGTTCCCGCGGGGAGCCTGGGGAGCCCGCTCCCAGCGCGTCCTCCTGGGCCTCCTGGGAGGTGGAGCCGGCTCAGGCGCGAGGAGGCCTTCATGGGAAGAGGAGGAGGAGTCGGAGGAGAAGGAGGAGGAGGAGGAGGAGGAGGAGGAGGACGAGGAGGAGGAGGGCGAGGGGGAGGAGGAGGAGGAGGAGGGGGAGGAGGAGGCGGAGGAGGAGGAGGCGGAAGAGGAGGCGGAGGCGGATGAGGAGGTGGAGGAGGAGTAGGAGGAGGAGGCGGAGGAGGAGGACGAGGAGGGCGAGGCGGACGAGGAGGAGAAGGAGGATGAGGAGGAGGTAGATTGGTACTACCTCCTCTGTCCAAGCTCGCTATCTCTCTCGGGCCGTCCCATCCTGCGCCCCGTCCCCTCTGCCGATTCGCTTGTCGTCCCTGCTGCTGCCGCCACTCTCCTTCACTGTCACTTTGATTCAATGAGAGGACGAGAGATCCATGAGGAGCGCACTGCCCGGTCCATAGCCGCCACGGAGCGGTTCCAGCTTGCGCGGCGGTGATGACAGACTCCTGGCGCGGCCACGTTCGAGGAGGAGGCGTATTGATGTTGCTGTTCCGGATGTAGTAAACGTTCCTGCCCTCATTAAACGGTGCCGCTTGCGTGGTCATCAACCATTGACCGAAGCGTTGGAAACTCTGGGAGGGTGAGGAGGAAGATGAGGAGGAGCAGAAGGAGGAGGAGCAGGAGGAGAAGGACGAGGAGGAAGAGGAGGAGGAGGAAGAGGAGGAGGAGAGAAAGAGAAGGCGAGGAGGAGGATGCTCGGAACCAGTCAGTTTCGCTCAGCAGAGAGCTGCAGGAGCTACACCTGCGGCAGATCTCCCCTGCAGTCTTCGATTGTACAACTAGGCAGCGCGCGAGCATGGCGGGTCTCCAAGCGCACGTCCCTCGAAGACCGACCTGAAGAAGGGAAGCTGGAAAAGGAGCCGTTCGCCACGGCTGCGATACTGAAATGTCTCTTGCTCTCCCGTTCCCAGAGTTCTTCCGAGTATCGGCGGCGAGCCCGGGGGGGGGAAGTGAGAAGGGGCGGGCCTTCTCGGAAGGCTCGGGAGTCCCCCCGCCTGCAGAGAAGTCTTCTAAGCTTTCCCCGAAGACACTGACAACTTACCAGAAGGCGCAAAGGATTCTGAGAAGTCCTGCCGACTCCTGAGAGGGCCTTCTCCTTCTCACTTCCCCACTTCGTTTGCCGCCGAGATTACCTTCGCCTGTCCCCAAAGTGCCTCTCGATCTAGTTGGCAGCGGCCACTCGCCGCTGGCATGTTCCTCGGGGGGCGGAGGCGTATGGAAGGGTTTCTGGTATTATTACTGCTGCGCGGGAGTGTGGGTGATGGCGTGGGGCGGGCGGTTACCAGGGCGGAGGGGTCGGAGGATTCTGCTCTCATGCTTCGTGCCCCTACAGTCCAGACCAGTGTGGTGAATCGGGCATGAGCCTTTCAATAGTAGTGGCTTTTGCAGCGGAATGCCTGGACGAGGTTAAAGCTGGTTCAGAGGTTTACACGCGCTTGGCATCGATTGGTCAACCCATCTCTTCTCCTCCTGCAGAGAGGTCGGTCGTTCACGGTGGAGTAAACAGAAAGGCGTTGGGCATCCATCGATCTATCTCTCGCTTTATTTCATCATCGCGCTCTCTCTCTTTTTCGTGTTTTATATATATATATATATCCCTTGTTGTTCCCGATGTACCTCGTTATCCTCCCCCTCCTGCCTCCCCCCCCTGATCCTTCATCACGCGCGGCTGAAGAGAACCAGACCAGTTTGTCCTCTCAGATTTCGGCCATTGTGTGTGCTGTGGGCCCATGCTGTGGGCGTTCGCGGTTCAGGTCGGCCCCGGGGTCGCAAAGGGTAACCGCGCCTCGCGCATCGCGGACAGGGCCGCCGAGCTGACCCTCTCCAGGGGAGGGGGGGGGCACGACTGGGCGAGGATTCGGGGGCCCCCAAACGAGGTTGTGAGCACACCGTGCGGTGAGTCGGTGGGGATTCGGGGTCACTGCACGGTTTTGGGACTCGAGTCCTTCTCCGAGGATGTCTCGGGCGACAGGGGCCTCCAGGGTCCCAAAACCGTGCGGTGACGGACCCTGCGGTGAGGTCTTGGGGGATTTCGAGGTCACCGCACCGTTTCGGGACTCCAAAAGGATAGCCGCAGATCGCGGGGCGCGATACGCAAAGTTACGTGATCTTGGTTCACGGTGTCGCATCGCTGATTTTGTGAGGTTAGGCGGTGTTTTGCCCGTGAGAGCAGGAGGTCTTCGCTGTGTCCTTCTCGTGCATCGCGAGGCGCTTTCTCCGTTCGACGAGAGTCTGGAAGCATCCACCGCGGTGGTGCAGACAGCGCGATTACCATGATGCACTCTTGTAGTCTTCTTGCTGGACCCCACCCACGCAAGTGGGAAGCCAGTGGGGCGACCTTGTGAGCCTCCTCTCGATGCCCGGTAGTATGGCTTTCTGCAGGTCGCGCAGCCCACCGCTGCGAGTTGTCGAACCACGCGCTAGCAGCGAAAGCGTCAAGAGCGGAACAGCGGATCCCAAGTACTGACCATCGGCTCTCTTGTTCGTTTTGGCATGCACGTGTCCCGTCTGGCCTGCGACGTTGGTTACCGTTGCTCTTTGGATTCGTTGGGGCATACACCTTAGGCGATGCTTAAGAAAACTAAAATTTTCGGCCAGAATCTCGATTATTCTTAATGTTCCAGTGTAAATCCTACAAATTTGGTAGAAATTTGGAGTTTTTATTCAAATTCTGAGACTATGAATTTCTTAACCCATGATTTCTAAAGCATTTCGCAGGGTGTAGGTGTTTCGTTTGGTCAACCTTTCATGGCCCCTGGTACGACCAGAGACGTGGACTGGGCGGCGTGCCGACCTGTGGCTTCGTGGCGTCTCAAGGGATTGCGGGCCGGACATTTGCCCAGCCGCCTCTTGAGTTCCAGGAGGAGGAGGAGGAGGAGGAGGAGGAGGAGGAGAAGAAGGAGAGATTGATTACCGATTAGCGAGTAGTCTCGGGTTCCAAAAATTCTACGCTAGGCTCGTGTCGTGCGAATCGGCGGCGACCCCGCCGCCAGCGTTCGACGTTGAACGCCGCTGCTGGCGACTTGGGATCGGTCGATGTTGAACGGTCTGACGTTTCGGAAACGGCAGATCATTCAAGGTTGAACGATCCCCACGGTGTCAGAAACAAACACCGAAGTCGGCACGACTCAGATACCACCGATAATTAATTAAATGTAGATGACGTTTGCAGTCAGGTCTCCACGTCGCAGCTCCAGAGACGTTCTCCTTCCTGTCAACATGCTCTCCCACTCCAGCCGATGTTCGACTCCTTGACCTGTGCGCTTCGCCACGGCTCTGCTCCCCTCCCAGCCGTGGTTGTCCTCCTCCTTCTCCTTCTCATCTCAATCCTTCCCCTCCTCCTCCTCTCAACTCCGCCTCCTCCTTCCTTATCCTTTCCTCCTCCTCGCATTCCTCCTCCTCCTCCTCCTCCTCCTCCTCCTCCTCCTATCAATCCTCCTCATCCTCCTCCTCCTCTCAATCCTCCTCCTCCTCCTCCTCCTCCTCCTCCTCCTCCTCCTCGCAATCCTCCGCCTCCGGGCCCCCCCCTCCAGCCCGTTCCCAGCCTGCGGTCGCGCACCCTCTCCCGCAGGCGCCGCATGCGCCCTCTCAGCCCACGGTCCCGCCGCCGGCCCCCACGGAGAAGGCCTGGGCAGGGCTCGTTTCGATTCCTCCGATTCGATTCGATTCGATTTCGATGGTTTCCGATTCCGATTCGATTCGACTTCGGATTCCGATTTGGCTTCCGATTTCTTATTGGAGGCACACTAGCCTGCCGATTTCCGCCGATTCGACTTCTCCCGACTCGGCTGCCGATTTCCGCCGATCCGACTCATTTCGATCGCCGATCCGACTTATCGATTCGACTCTGGGCTCTCCTGCCTGGGGAGGGGGCGACGGGGAGGGAGCGTGGCATCGCTCGGACGTGTGCATGTTTTTTTCGGCGAGGGCCGTCGAGGAGCGTCCTGGAGCATCGGGCAGAACAAGCACGCACGAGACCGACAAAAAATGCACGGGGAATGGACGTCCGAGCGATGGCAGGTGGGAGCGGGTAGCGCAGGCAGGGCCGTGGCAGAGTCACAGGGGAGAGAAGGGCGCGAAGCATAAAACACAGGAGCATGGAGCAGAAATGTGTAGTGGGGAAAGGGGGAAGAGCAGACTGCTTCGAATGCCGATGTCGATAAGACTAGGCACCTTGCGGGTAATAAGGACGGCGGGGACACATGCGTTGGATGTGTAGAGTGCATGTGTGCAGATTTGTTGATACAATCTTCCCTATGCGAAGCTCTATTCTAGGGGCCTAGCGATCTAACTCTTGGCTAGTTTTTATGTGGGGCGAATAAGTGACACACCAGTGGGTAAACAATCAACCTGATGCGTAAACATGCCAATTATTCAAGATCACGTTTGAGTCTCAAACAAGTTCCACGGTCCTTGACTACGTCCAGCGTCGACCCCAGATATCCGCGCAGACCTCCCAGCGTGTGTGCTTTTCTGCAGTCAGTGGCTCGTCGATTTCGGCCATCATATTTTTCCTCGGCTGAGCTTGAGGCGCTGTCTTCTCGTATCTGATTTTCCCCACACAGCAAGGTCTGTTATCAACGGGCAGGAGACAGAGGAGGAGGAGGAAGAGGAGGAGGAGGAGGATCCTTCTCTTACCTTTCGCTCCTCATCTGTTCTCCACCCTTCCTGCCTCCCGTCCGCCGCCCCTCCTCTACCCTCTTCTTTACAGCCCTCCCACCCTCCACCCCTCCCCCCTCATAACAACTTCCCTCCCTCTCGTTCCCGTCCCACCCTCGTCCTTACCCTCCTCATGCTCCGTCCCTGCCCTGCTCATGTCTCCTCTTAACCCTCATCCTCTTCTCCTGGTCCTCCACCCACCCTTCCTCCCCCACGTCCCTGTCCCGCTACCTCCCCCTCCTCCCCTTCCACGTCCTCCTCGTCTTCTCTCCTCTTCCTCCTCGCCCCTCTCCCTCCTCTTTTTCTCTCTCTCTCTCTCTCTCTCTCTCTCCTGTCCCTCCTCCCGTGAGATCTGGCGTTGTGAATATATTGCAACATCACGAACAACAAACATGACAGGAGATTTTGCTTGGAACCGAGCGCAAACGCACGGGGTGGAAACATCCTGCGGCGACCATGGACGCCTTGTGAACCGTTTCCGTCCACCTCTCGCGCCGAGTGCCGCAGGAAACCGCTGGAACCCGACGAAGACCGCCGAGGAGGGCCAGAAATAATCCGCGGGAGACCTTCGAAGACCGCCAGAGGACCGCCGAAGACCTCCGGGCGGGTGGGCAACGAGGGTCACCTCGTCGACTGCGCCACTGGCGCCAGTCGCAGCTCGGCTCCGCTTCTGCCCCCACGCTCCCCGCGGGCGCGGGAGAAGCGTGCCTCGGGCGCCTCCCCGCTCCTCGCCCCGCGCGGGCGGCCGCGGTCGCCGCCGTCGCCGCCGTGGGGTCGTGCCGCTGCGGGCGTCCCGCCGGTCGTCGGCTGGCCCCGCCCATGCTTACCAGCCTCGAACGTATCCCTATCCCTAAGATTGACACGCCAAAAGGCGATGACAATCTTAGGGATTCGCCCTCAAAAGAAAAGGGAATCCCTAAGATTGGCATCGTGATGAGGAGGTGCCCAGTATAGGGATAGGGATATGTTCCAGGCTGGTAACGTGCCCACTCTCGCGCAGGAGCTCCTACCCGTCGCTTCGGTGGGGCCGCAAGCCAGCCGAGCTTCCAGGGGCTCCAGGGAGAGCGAGCCGTGGCCGTGCGCTCCCGCTTCGGCGAGCACGCCGAGGCCGGGGCGCAGGTGCGGCACCCTCCGCGTCGTCCTCCTCTTCGCCCGCCTCCTCGCCGTCCGCCTCCTCGTCGTGGTCGCAGTCGCCGTCTCTGCTCGGTCGTCAACGTTCGATCCATGCCCATGCTGCTGCTCCCCACTGGGCGCCAGGGGCAGGATGTGAACAAAAAGCTTGGCACCTGGGGCAAGATTCTCATCCATGCGCCCGCTCTGGCCCCACGCTTTGAGTAGCATTGGTGGTGGGCAGGGGCACGGATAAAACGTCGATCTCCTACGGCAGGCTTGCGCTGTGGCATTCAGCGTTGGAACGCCGCCGGCGACCCATCATCGGCCGATGCTGCACGACCTGACAACCTGACGTGTCGCAGACGGCCGACCGCTCGAGGTAGAACGATCCCCACGGAATCGGAGGCCGAAGCTAGGAGGTAGAACGATCCCCACGGAGTCGGAACGAAAAGTTACATAAACATAAGAACTCGAAGGTCCTCGCGGATTTCTTGGATCCGCGCTGGGCCCCCCTCCCCGGCGCGCGGAGCGCGCCCGGGGCGGCGCCGCAGGCGCCGCCAGGGGGCCCCAGCACCGATACGAGAAACCCGTGCGGACCTCCGAGGTATGATGTTTACGTCATTGTTCGTTCCCCTAGAAGCCGCGGTCGGCACGACACGACGACTGCGGTGCCCGCCGTCGTCGTCGTCGTGCCGCTGTGGTGCCGCTCCGGCGCGCTCCGAGAGGCCCTGCGCTCGGCGCCGGCGGTGCAGCAGCCCCCGCCGCCCCAGGTGCCTGCAGAGGAGGCGCTGCGCGCGGCCGCCTTGTCGAGCAGTGGCGAAGCGTCGTGGTTTGCCTGCAGGCCCACCACAGAATCCAGAGATCCCACGCATTGGAACAAAAACAAGAAGGAGGTTTTTCTCAGTTTTCGGCCTCCAGGAGCCCTCGCCGGGCCCCGGGTCCGCCGAGGAACGATTCAGGATGAAAAATTGGTCTTCGGGGAAGGGGTCGAAACTTCCGGGGACCATCGAAAAAATCACGACATCGGATCTCTGGGAATGGTGCCAGAACCTTGCGCGGTCTGCACGGCATGGTCTTGGAACATTTCTGGATGGGACTGTCATGTTTTCACGCATCGGTCTTTCTATGCTCTGAGAACCTTGTTTTGTTATGAGAACATGCTTGGGAGTTCTGAGAACATGTCGTGGCAGGCCTACGGGAATGCTGGGTCTGTCGGTCCTTGCTCAACCTTTCGGGGGGGGCGCGGGTCTGGCGCGCCGTGGCTCCGGCTGCGCGGTCTCTCCCAGAGACGACGACGACGACGACGACGTCGACGGACGAGGCCGACAAGGACGACGAGGACGGCAACGACGACGACGACGACGACGACGAGGACGAGGACGACGATGACGACGGCGAGGACGACGAGGACGACAGACTAAGCCTCCCAGATGGGGTCGGAGTAGCTGGGGTCGGAAGATCGCGCCGCGTCCTCGAGGCGCCAACGATGCGGCTCGATGTGCAGCCCGATCTTTTCCACGCGCACGTCGCCGCTGCATCGCCGACGTCGCCTGTGCACCGCCGATGCATCGGCGATGCATCGGCGATGCGGCGAGATCACCCGACACCATCCACTCCGACACCATTTGGAAGGCTTCTAATCGATAAGCCAAGATGTTCACCCGCGTGGACCCCAAAGGGTTGTGTTTCTAGTCATCGATGTGGTGCCATCTATTTGGAGCAATCCAGGTGGTGCGGTCTATGTGGAGCAACATATGCGGTGCACTTTATGTTGTGCTTTCATGGTATGCAATATATGTTGTGCAATTTCCCTTGTGCTATACATAATGCCATATGTAATGCCATATGTAAAAGGTAGTATAAGTCATGCCAAATGTGTGATGCAATCTGGACGGGACCAGATATGTGCTGCAAAATATGTGGCGACACATACGCGGTGCAACCATTGTAGTGCTATTTATGTTGCGATGTTGCGCTGTATACGTTTTATGCAATCTATGTGGTGCAATGTACGTGGTGAAATACATTCGGTGCGCCACACGTGGTACAGTCTAGGTGTTCCACTATGTTGTGCAATCTATGTGGTGCAACCTGTCTCGTGCAATGAATGTAGTACAATGGATGTTGTGCGCGACAACAAGGGGCGCAATACTTGTGCTGCAGTTTGTGTGGGAGAGATCTGTGGATCAGCATATGTTGTAATAGCTAGCGGACTCTTGTACGTGGTGTGGACATCGTGGCGTAAGCCAAGTGGTGAAACGTACTCATCCGTTTTGTGTGACATCTGTCGCGTGAGCCATGTGATGCCATACCTATGGTAGGAGCTAGCGTACTCATCTATGTGCTGTGAGGAATCGATTGGATACCAATCGACTGCATTGCGACCAATTGGATTGCAGCCGATGGGATTGGATTGCAATGCAAAGCAAGACCTAGACGACGGGCGGCGACGCGGCGGCGACGCGGCGGCGACGGCGAGTATTTAGCCGCTAAACCGTCCAACCGGCCCATCAGGTCCAGACGATGGGGCGGTGACGGCGCGGCGACGGCGAGTATGTATCCGCCAGACCAACCAACTGGTCTTTTATCCTTAGAGAAGAGGTGAGAACCCCTAAGCGCAAGCACTGCTTGGGGGAAAGGATGGACACCTGAAGTGATCCTAAGGATCAGCGGAAACATACGGCCACTTGTCTGCAACGGCAGGGCACGCATGTCACGGAATGCCTCGTGGAGGCGGCGCCCGTGGGCAGAGTGAACGGTATAGGTTCACGATGAACTCTCCTGGACGGCCTCTCCCCAGACATGTTCGCGTCGTGAGCAGATCCGGACGGACGGTTTTCGGCTGTGCCTTCTGGGGGCCCTCCCTGGGCTCCAGGACCGGCAACAAGAACGCCTCGGTATGAGAAGGTCGGCCCGGGGGAAAGGGCCGGGACTTCAGCGAACCCGAGCGGAAGACGTCAAGACACGGGCTGTCTAGGGGGGGGGGGCTCGGCGCGCAGTCCTCCCAGCCGGCACGGCCTCTCATGTGGGCGGCGGAAAAGCGCGATCGAGAAGAAAGGATTGGTTGCGAAATCCGAGCTCCGCCCTCGCCGATATCAACGATTCGGGCAGCTCGATGGGCGGCGGGGGTAGGGCCCTGGAGCCATTCATGCTTCGCGTATCCCCACAAGTCCGTTCAGAGATCCTGCCCACGAGAGAGCCGACGGGAGACGGGACGAATGGACACATGTAGGTCATCAAAGCAGGCATCCAGGCTGAATAGGGGTCCGCGGACCAGCTTGGAGCTGCCGTCGTCGGCGGTTCGAAGAAGAGGCCCTGAGGCGTGGGGACGGTGAGTTCACTCGAAGAGGAAACGCCATAAACAGAGACTTTCGGCGCTCCGCGCGGCTTTCTTGGCTCCGCGCTGGCCCCCCCGAGCGGCGCCTCTGGCGCCGCCCCTGACGCGCGGAGCGCGCCAGGGAGTGGGGCCTTGTGCCGATCGAAGATGTTCGCGCGGATATGGCGTCCTTTCCTTTTCTAGATGAGGCAATGATGCGTGGGGACGTCGAGTTTACACTGTTTAAGGCTCCTCGTCCTTGTCCAGGCGATTTTTCTCTCCTGGCGCCTAACAGCTGCCCAGGCCCCCCTCCAGTTCGGGGTAACGGTGATTGCCGTACGTACGGGGGTTTGGACACCCTCCCTGAGGTTGGTGCTCGCGCGCGTACTATGGCGATCGCAGCGCACCCCTGCCTCGACGTGCCCCATGCCGCCCAAGCATCACACCGGAATCGTCGAAGGTATCCCATCTCTCAGACCCAGGACCCGGCCATGATATCTCCCCGGATCTGACCACGCCTCTCCTTATGTTTATGTGCTCCCTGCCCCCCCCCCTGGGTTGCGCACATGCCTCGGGCCGTGATTTGCGCCCCCCCCCCCCTTGGAGGCCCAACTCTTGGACGCCCCCGGAGAGAGGGCGCCATCTTCGATCCGCCGACCTCGCCTCTCTCCCGATCCTCCCGCGCTCCGTGCTCTGGCTGAGCTTCTGCCGCTTCCAGTCGGGGCCGCCCCCCTCTCCTGGGCTTCTGGGGCCAAGGCCACCAGAAGGCCGTGCGAGGACTCGCTCCTTTCGGGGGCGCCCATCCTAAAGATGGGGGGGGGAGGTCTAAGAAAGTGTCCCTTGAAAATGGAAACGGCAACAAACACGGCGACCGGAAACGGCAACGCAGACGGCTCCAGGATTGGAACCGGGGCGGGACCCCGTAAAAGAACGGCGACGGAACCGGTAAAGAAACGGTGTCGGAACCAGCAAACAAACGGCAAAACAGAACTGGTAAAAAACGGCCCTGTCGTTTCCAGGGCCCACTAAAGTCTAGGGGCTTGGATGCGGTTGGACCACGGGTTGCACACAGACATCGCCACAGTTAATTAGTCCCTGCTAGCCTCAACAGGCCCCCCGAGTTGTCCCAGCTGGCCTCAGCAGGCCCTCGAGCAACGTTCGCGGCGGTCTCAACACCCTGGCGCCGCCCCCATTGGCGCCGCAAACCGCGCCCCAGGGTTGGGGTGTTGATGACAGTTGGGAGCCTGTTCAGGCCAGCCGGGACTCCTCTTGAGGCCAGCAGGGAGTATTTGGGAGGGCTGTCTGCGCGCATCCCGAAGCCTTACTATTTTGCGTGCGTGGACAGCATGGCCAGCGAATCTCCCAGATTTCATGGTCTCCCCGTCTGCTCCCAGTGCGTTCCCTGAGCCCCCCTCGTCCGCGCCCTCGCACTTTCCCGACTCTCGCGCAGGGCCCCCGCCCCCGCCTCCCCCCCTTCTGGGATCCTCTGGGCGACGAGCGCCGACAGCCCAGTTTTGCGCCCACGAGAGTCGATTGGGGGGAGTGGGACGGGGCCAGAACGAGGAGAACTCCGTTCCAGAGCATTCCGGAGCGCCCTCAGAGCGTCTCGCAGCGCTCCGAGAAGGTTGCGGTGCCCGAGAGATCCTCCGGAGCCGCCGGATCGCTGAGTTTCTCGATTTCTCCTCACCCGATGTTACTCAGGAGGGGAAGAAACACACTGACACAATTAATCGTCGACTCCCCAGAAAATATTGGAAAATATGGGAAGTGGTGGGGAAGACAAAAAACCCAGAAAATATGGGAAAATATAAGGAATCTTTTTATTTGTGTGTATTTATTTGTGTGTCCTGGGGCCCCTTCAGTTACCCTCGTCCTGGCTTCGCCTCAGGGTGGGTTCCAGATGTCCTTGGCCCCTGCAGGGCCTCCAGGGGCCTGCGGCGGCCTCCGGGGGAGGGGCGCTCCGCTGCCTGCGTGCGGCGGCGGGTGCCGCGCACCAGCGGCATCTGACGGGTGCCCAGGGCGTCGTCTGTCGTTCGGCGGCGAGCGAGGGTGGGAAATGACGACGACGCCGCCGCCGCCGCCGCCGCCGACCACGACGACGACGACGACGACGACGGAGAGGCAGGGCCAGAAGGGCAGGGCACACGAGGCCTCGGTGCACCCGCCCCCGTCCTGCCCCCCCCCCCCCCGCTCCTTCCCTCATCGCCCCCCCCTCGGCGCCTTGCCCCTGCTGTTGTCGGCGGCGGGCGAGGGGGCGGGGATGAGGAGGAGAAGGCTTTCTCAGAAGGCGGCGGGGCTTCTCAGAAGCCGATGCGCCTTCTGAGCAGTTTTTGTTGTGCCTAAGAGGGCCCAGAGGACTTCTCCCCGCCCCTTCTCACTGCCCCCCCCGCTCGCTGCCGAGTTGTGCACGGACGCCGTTTCCCGAGCCAGTCTGGCCGTGGCGCACTGGGCGGCCGCATAAGATCCAGGGCCCAAGGGCCTCCACCCACCGGAGCGGGCTCTGCGCGGGCTCTGCCCCCGCACGTGGGCCCCCCTTCTGTGTGTGCGTGCGTTCGTTCGTCTGCGCGCGGGTATGGGAGAGTGTGGGTGTGTGTGTGTGTGTGTGAGTGTGTGAGTGTGTGTGAGTGTGTGTGTGTGTGCGTGCGCGGTTGTGACTCCGCAGCGCCGCTGCGCGCGTGGCATCAATGCCAACAAGTGTGCGTTCTGCTCACCGTGTGTGCCGCCGCGTGTGCTGTCCCTCCCCCCCCCCCCGCGCGGCACCCCGTGTGGGGCCCGGACGCGCGGTCCCCCGTGAGGCTCCCTTGCGTGCCCCCCCGCGTGGTTGTCCCCGCGCTCGGCCCCACACGGCGACAGCACCGCAGTGGCCCCGCAATCGAGGGATGAGGTACGCAAGGGCACCGGGAGCCTTTCAGTCGGACGAGGAATCATGCAAGAGGGCGGCGCACTTGTGGAGCACACCCAAGTCCTCCATGCACGGACGCGGCAAGCTTGACACGTTGGGGAGGTGGGGAGGTCCCTTGGCCTGGCTTCAGCATGGATGGACAACGATGCTGAATCATCGTGCAACAAACACGAAGTGCGCGTTTGGGCCGTCCCCTGAAAACACTTGAAACAAACGGCGTCGACGTCGACGACGACGACGACGACGACGACCACGATGACGACGACGACGTCGACGACGACGACGACGACGACGACTCTCGGCTTGCCATTGCATGGATCGAGCCCGGCGCAGCGCCGCCGTCTCTGCTTCAAACGGCATACCACGCCTTGGCGGAGACGCCTGCAGGCCCTCCGCTCGCGCAGGGGCGGGAGAGCGCCCGCATCGGAGGATCGTCGAGGGGGGGGGGGGCTCTCCCACGGTGGAGCTCGGGAGTGAACCCAGCTGGATGCTTGCAGTTCCTTCTTCGGGAGCCGTTTAGAGCAATTCTCCTCCCACCCTCACCTCTGCCCCTGCGGGTCCGCCCAAACGCGTTCTCGGCTGAGCAGGATTGAGTCGGGCCTGTCCCTCTACAGGAGGAAGCTTCGAACATAGTCCAAGGATAGTCAGGGGACGATCTTTCTGCCATTCTTGAGTACCTTTGAGTCTGTTTGTCTATGTCTTTGTTTGTCCATGTCCAAAAAACAGCCTGTAGGAGGACATGCCCGATCTCAGAGCAGGGGGGGGGGAGGGGGGGCGCAGCAGAGCGCGTGGTCCCCCAGAACTTCCCTCCCCCACCCCCCCCACACGGATAATCGGGTGGACTCCCGCGTCTCCTCTCGATATCCGTGCCCAGCGGGCCGTTCTCGAGCTCTCGGGCCATCAAACGACGGAGCGCGCAACGGCGTTTCACGTGCACGCCGGCCGTCGAATGTAGGTATCTCTGGATTTCCAGACCCCCTATCTACTTCGAGCGCCTTCCTACTTCAAGAATCGATATATGTTTTGGCTGTGTTCTGTTCTTATCTTGGAGGGCCTGAGCCCAAGCTACTTTATCCGCCTTCCTCATTCATGCTTTTACCTACTCCTTCCGACCGGCGTGTAGACCGCTGCAGCAGAAGAACCCAAAACCTATTCACACAGAGGATAGGGGGGCCACGGTGGTCCACCGATGTCGGGGGCCAAGCATGGTTCGTTGTGCGCGAACGCATTGCTTCACATACGGTCAGGAGCCTCTGCTTGGCGTGTCGCTCGCTCGGTTCTGGCCCACTGCGCTGCGGCGCGACACGCTAACCACGCCCGACCCGGGCGTGGAGTTTGAGGGGCGTCGCCGCCCGAGCTGTCCAGCGCAGCGGAACCCGTACTCCAGGACCTGTGGCCGGCGCGGCGCCCCGTGAGCGAAGGTGCCGACGAGAGCCCAAGCCACCAGGCCCGCGCTCTCTCCTCCTCCTCCTCCTCCTCCTCCACCTCCTCCTCCTCCTCCTCCTCCTCCTCAACGTCCCGACCCTCTTCCGACTTTCCGAGCCTTCGGCCTCGCGGCGCGGAGCGACACGCTGTCCGCTCGCTGGGCATATCGCGCGTCGCTGGGGCCGGACGGTCGCAAGACGCGAACCAGGAGTTCCTGCAGGCAGAACCCCTGCGGTTAGGGGCAACGCGATGTCTGTCCTCCTCCTCCCATTCCTCCTCCTCCTCCTCCTCCTCCTCCTCCTCCTCCTCCTCCTCCTCCTCCTCCTCCTCTGCCTCCTGACATTCCACCTCCAGGCGCACTCGCCGAAGAGCGCGACCAGGACGCAGCGCCAAGGAGGGGGTCGGGAGCCCCGGGGCCGCAGACCGACAACAGCACGTTGTCGCATGACTGGGCCACCACGACCTCACCAGCCCGGTGCCGTGCACAACAGCGCGCCCCCTTGTGCCATACCCGTCGGCATCGCTGCGCGGCGTCGAACTTGTTGAGCGGCTGGGATTCAGCGCGCCGGAGAGGTGTGATGGGTGTGAAGCCGCCCTGCCAGGCAAAGCGGTCTCGTATTCCCCTGGATCTCGGATCCACATCCTATGGATTCCGATGGGTGAACCCGCGGACTCCTAGCTCAAAAGGAGACGAAGCCAGTACAGAACAAACTACAATTCTGAAGCCACGCTGGCAAACCTACTTGCCGACATGATGGTGAGAGAATGAGATGGATGGTCCTCGTCTCCCCACTGCCTCTGCAAAATTGCTAGAAGGCGCAAGCCCAAAATGAATACACTCACCCAACAACATAACACGGGAGGCTAGACACTAAATAAACAATCAAGCACATGCTCACCAGAAAGATAGACACGGTCCCCACAAGTAGGCATGATGGCATGTACGCACACAAACACACACGCACGATTCTACAATAGGTAGGCATGGACATGTTTCCACAATTTGGCCAGATCACGAAGCCCCTTAGGAATGTGGCCGGAGTAGACAAAGACTTGCGGCAAGAATTGAAGAGGCCCGAGACGTCTAAAAAGCTCATTCGTCCTCCACCCTTTCTCCCAGCGGGGCGAGTGAGCGGGGGCGGGGGAGGAAGGGCCGCCGAAGTTTGGCCTGGGACTGCCCTCATCGCCGGGCGTCAGGAGGAGCAGGATGCGTCAGGAGGATAGGACAGGGAGGAGGGACGGAGGAGGATGACGAGAGGGAGGAGAAGCAGGAGGAGGAGGAGGAGGAGCGAGGTTGAGGAGGAGGAGGAGGAGGAGGAACGAGGAGGAGGAACGATCGCCGTTCTGCGGCCTGAAACCGCCTTCTGCACCTGACAGCCGGAGAAAAGACAGACGGGGTGAGGGAGGCAGGATGAGGAACGCTCGCCAAGGTCTCACCATGGAACGGCCCTCACCTCCAGGCGTCAGGAGGAGGAGAAGGAGGGCGACGAGGAGGCGGAAAGCGAGGAGGAGGAGGAGGAGGAGGAGGAGGAGGAGGAGGAGGAGGAGGAGGAGGAGTAGGAGGAGGAGGAGGAGGAGGAGGAGGAGAAGGACGAGGATGTGGAGGAAGGACGGTCGCCGAGGTCTCCACCTGGAACCGCCCTCGTGTCCGCAGGCCCAGGCGTAGGGAAGAGGAGGAGGAGGGACGGCTGCCGAGGGACGTGGAGCGGCAGGGGTGCGGAGGAGGGTTTTGCCGCAGGGGAGGGTGAGCCGAAGGCGAGACACCGCATAAGCTTAAGTCGGGCGTGTCCCTCTGCAGGGTGAATCTTCAAACATAGTCGAACAATAGTCCGGGGACGATTTTTTGACAATCTTTCAGCATTTGAGGGGAATTCTTTGAGTATTTCCCTACCTAAGCTCTGCCTAGAAGGGTTCTTACTCTCTAGCTTAAAGGGGCCGGGCAGTGGAAAGCGCCCCGGGCGGTTCCCCCAGTCCCCGCCCCGCGGATCCCCCCAGTCCCCTGGGAGCTTTAGCTTTAGCTTTAGCTTTAGCTTTAGCTTTAGCTTAGCTTTAGCTTAGCTGTAGCTTAGCTTTAGCTTAGCTTTTCGCTTAGCGTTTAGCTTAGCTTAGTTTTAGCTCAGCGTTAGCTTAGCTTGAGCTTAGCTTGAGCTTAGCTTCAGCTTAGCTTTAGCTTAGCTTTAGCTTAGCTTTAGCTTAGCTTTAGCTCAGCTTTAGCTTAGCTTTACTTAGCTTAGCTTTAGCCCAGCTGTAGCTTAGCTTTAGCTTAGCTTTAGCTTAGCTTTAGCTTAGCGTTACTGTTACTACTAATGCTGCTTTCCTAGCGGTTCCAACTCCTAGGTAGGGTCGCACTGGGATAATGTATTGATCTTTCGCCCCACAATCCCCCTGTAGGGGGACACGCCCGACTTAAGCAGAAGCACGAGCTGCCTGCGGTCCGCGCGGACCTCCGAGATCGGCGTTGGACCCCCCCCCCTCCCCGGCGCCGGGCACGGGCAGCGCACCAGGGGGTCGGGCGCCCCCGGCGCCGTTCGGGGCGCCGATCCAAGAAGTCCGCGCGGGCCTCCGCGCTGTGGTGCGCATCCGGCTCTCTGTGGTGCGCATGCGCTCCGGTGCGCATGCGGCTCTCTGGCCTGCACCGCAGGCGTTGAGCCGTACAGGTCGTGCTACACAGACTGGCCCAAGCAGACTGCGCCGCACAGCTAGCACCGTACGAGTTGCATCACATGTTGCACCATATCCTTACACACACATACATACATATATAGATATATGTGTAGATGCACATGAGTATCTGTATATCTGTACGATATGCAATCTGTGTCGACCAAATTGATGCACGTACTTGTGGTTGTGTGCTGCACCGCACGGTTTGCACCACGCATCTAGCATGTGCAAGGGACAGTGCGCCGTCTGGGGCCCCACGCGAGCAAGCTTTGCTCCTCCGAGGGGCGGCACGGGCGCCCCTCCTCCGCGGCGCTCCCCGCCCCGCGCCCCGCAACCTCGAACACCGCCGCCACCGAGGCGCGCTCTGCCCCCGCCGCCTCGATGGAGGGGCCCGTCGAGGACGTCCACGCGACACAAGGCGGCTCCTTCGAGGAGCCCCCCCCGCCCCGCTTCGAGGGGAGGGGCGGAGAGAGGGGACACGGGCAGCAGCCCGCATAGCAATGGGGGAACGAACAGTGACATAAACATAATAAACTCGGAGGTCCGCGCGGACCTCCGAGGTTTTTTGTGCTTGTGTCATCCTTCGTTCCCCCAGGCAAGAATGAACGACCTTCCAAGGTTGCCCCTCGCATCCCTCCTTCCCCTTCGGCCCATCCTCGGCCGCTCCCTCTGGCCGCGCCTCGCTCGCAAAGTGCCGGCATGGCCTTCCAAGGAAATGCATACTTAATCGTGCGTCCTCATCATGAGGGCTGGATGTACGGTCGAGCCTACGACTAAGGCACCTCCTCCCGAACAGCTCGGTCAGCGCTTCTTGACCAACCTGCAACTTGCCGGACATATGGCCGCGCTTCTTGAGCACAGTCGCTCGCCCAGAGCGTTAACACCAGAAGCTGGCCCAGGGCGTTTGAAAAACCTTCGGGAGGCTGGCATGGACATCCTGAATGATGATGTTATTGCTCAAGCAGTGGCGAAGCGTCCCGGCTCGCCTATAGCCCCACCAAACAATGATCTAATAATCTTGTGTGGTTCCCACGAACTTGTTTGGGAACAGTTCTTGTTCATATTGTTTTGTTTTAACATATCGGGTTGATGTTCTAAGAACACTGCTTTTGTTCTTAGAACATTTTTGGGTTTCTAAGAACATTTCGTGGTAGGACTACCGGGACGGTCGGTCCCTGCTCAATGATGTTATTGCACATCTGTTCGGTTGCAGGGAGCGCACAACCTTCGGGATCTGAGCTGCCCTGCTGCGCCCATGTTTTTTTTATATAAAAAGCACACACACACACAACACGCGCTGCTTCAACACGTCCGTATGGGCACGGTGCATGCTGGCCCGTCCGTAGTGGGCCCTGGCAACGACAGGGCCGTTTTTTTTACCCGTTCCGTTTTGCAGTTTTTTTACCGGTTCCGACGCCGTTATTGCACGGGTTCCGTCGCCGTTGTTTGACCGGTTCCGGCTCCTGTTCCAATCCTGGAGCAGTTTTTGTTGCTGTTTCTGGTCGCCGTTCTTTTGCCGTTTCCATGTTCAAAGGGGATTTTCCTGGAAACGGTGAAAAAACGTCCCTGCTGTTTCCGGGGCCCACAATGGGCCCGGCACGTGTTGGTCGACATTTTGGCGGACGTATCGAGCCAGTTCTACGTTTTCAGTGTACGTGTTAAGCTCCGTGTCAGCAAGTTGCGTGCTGCGTGTCGCGTATCGGAGCAGCCAGGTTCGGAATGGTCGAGCCAACCATTCCAGAGCCGCCTCAAGGCGATGCTCCGGCTGAAGTAGAGCCTAACTGACAAATAGTGACGCGGCACACCGCATAGACATGATTATTGGGAGTCCGCGCGGATTTTGTGCATCAGCGCTGGGCCCCCCTCCCTGACGTGCGGAGCGCGCCGGGGGCGGCATTGGAGGGACCGTCAGGAGGGCCCAGCGCTGATCCTCCGACAGTTTACGTTTATGCGGCTTGTCTTTTCTAGGGAAGGAAAAGGCGGCCGTGCGTGTTGTGTGCGTTCAGTCTCCCGTTCGAGCCATCCCGAAGCGCGAGCGGCCTCGAGATCCCCCCCGCTTGGCCTGCCCTTGGCAGGTTCACGAGCCCCACCGCTTCCGTGACGCTCGTGGCCAGGTGGTGCACCATCTGTGGAAGGTCAGGCAGCGCCGATGCTCCCTTCCACTGTTCACACGAGGCGTTCCAAAGAGTGCCTCGCCTCGTCGACTCGGCGAGGGGCTCGGCGAGTGCCTTCTTTCCTCGGCGACTCGGCGGAGGGGCGGCGGAAGCTGGCAGGAGTGAAGCGAGGCCGCCTCCGCCGGCGGAGGGCGGCGGAAGGCCGGCGGAAGCCGGGGAAAGTTGAACACGCGCCCCCACGGTCAAGCAGTGGCGAAGCGTCCCGGCTCGCTTATAGCCCCATCAAACAATGTTTTAAGATTTTTTTGTGGTTCCCACGAAATGTTCTTAGAACATTTCTGGTTGAGATTGTCTTGTTTTAACACATCGGGTTGATGTTCTAAGAATACTGTTTTTGTTTTTAGGACATTTGGGGGCTTCTAAGAACATTTCGTGGTAGGACTATAGGAATGCCGGGACTGTCGGTCTCTGCTCAACCAGGGGACGGAACAGTTTTTGTCTTCAGAGGTTCCTGGAATTGGTCGCACTGTTTTGGACTGCAATGGGTGTTGCCATGCGCCAGCGTTCGGTGCTGGATGCCATTCTGCTTCGCCGTCGCGGTGGTGCTGCATCGGAGCCATACCTTCTGCCTCGCAGCCCGCGGTTCCCTGACGAATGGAGCCCGTTGATTCTGTCCCGTTTGGTGACGACGGTTCTTCGTCTCTCCTTGTTTTATTCTCTCTTTCTTTCTGGGAAATAGTTGAAAGCCTCGCGTCCTCCCAGTGCCCGAAAGATGAGGCAGTGACAAAGGCAATATTGAAATGCAGCGGCAGGTTGTCGCCAGACAGGGAAACAAAAAGAGGGAGCGAACAAGTTGGGAGAAGACGACTGGACTAAGCGGTTAGGACGGAACGGGGCCAGGCCGGCACCTAAGAAGAAAGACGGACCAAGGCGATTCGATTGCATCGAGCCCTGCGGCGAAAAAGCATGAGATGCACCTAACAAGCAGATGAATGAATCGATCGATGCACGGGGTTGCTAACAAGCTGCCGCAGACCCAGAAGCGTTTCGGGAATTGCAGGCTCACTGCCAGCACAAATGTCACTCAAGGAAAACACTCAGACCAGAATGGGATAGCAGAACCGCTCGCTATGATTCATTAACCCTTGTATCCTGATCCCCGCGAGGATTCTGGTAAGACGAAAAACAAGCCACGGCGCAATATTAGAGGAGCGACGTCGCGCAATGCCTGAAGAAGTTGAAGCGTCACAAGGCTTGCGCCGCAGATGAGCTTGTGGCAAAGCTGACAAATATGGTGTGTCTACAATCGTTGAGGCAATTTGGATATGTTTGCTGATTTACTGAATGGGGAACGCGTGTTCCAGAGTCGTGGGTTAGTTCAAACATAGTGGTAGGGGCAGGATTTGGCACGCAACTCTGCAGGAGGACAATGACAGGCCAATTGCCATCTTCTTCTCTTCGTCCTCTTCCCCGCCCCCCCCCCCCTCGACGTCGTCACCCTCCTCCTTACCTCCCCTCGACGTCGTCGCCCCTTCTCTCCCTCGCCCTCCTCTCCCTCGCCCTCCCCACCACGCCGTCGTCCTCGTCCCATCCGCCGTCCTCCGCCTCCTCTCCCTCGCCCTCCTCGCCTCCCTCTCCTCCTCCCCTCGCCGCTCCTCCCCATCCACCCCCCCTCGTCGCCGCCCTCCTCCACCGTCCGCGCCCCCCCCTTCCCCCTGAGATCCTACGTGGCGAAACATCACAACATCGTGAAGAATCACGGTCAGAACCCCAGAACTCCTCCTTCTCCACTTCTTCCTCCTCCTCCTCCTCTTCCTCCTCCTCTTCCTCCTCCTCCCCTTCCTCTTCCTCAACCTCCTCCTCCTCCTCCTTCTTCTCCCTCCCTCGACCAGGATCGATCCTGAACTGCTCTGGGGACCCCAAACTGGGCGAACATGCCTGGGTCGAACCACCATGAGACGCCCGGATTTCGCCCCCCCGCCCTGTGACGCCCCCCCCCCCGCTCGAGACCCCTCCTTCAGTCGCGGGCGACAGACATATCCGCGGCTTCGCGGGTCGTGACCCCGCGGACGCGGACTTTTTGTTGCGGATGCCCCGCGCGGAGCGCAGCCGTGCGACCGCGTGCCCAGGCATCCGGCGCCACGGTGTTTCGAGACACGGGCTCCCGATTGTTCGTCCGCTTCCATGGGGCCTTCTTCTTTTCATCCCGAGCTTTTGTTTGACGGCCCCGAGGCCTGGTGAGGGCCTACAGAGGCCGACGAGTCTGAGATCACCGGCGTTCCGATTGGAGCGCTGGATGTCCCTGGGTACCCGCTGGCTGGCGCCCAGGAGTTCAGACCGCGATGGCGCGGACACGAACACGTTCGCCGCTCGTGATTTGAGCCACCCCTGATGGGCGTGTTTTCCACCACCACCTCCATAAGTTGGAGGGAGGGGTCCTCCTCCTCCCCCTCCTCCTCCTCCGCCTCCTCCTCCTCCTCCGCCTCCTCCTCCTCCTCCTCCTCCTCATCCTCCTCCTCCTCCTCCTCCTCCTCCCCCTCCTCCTCCTCCTCCTCCTCTTCGTCCTCCTCCTCTCCCTCCTCCTCCTCCCCGCCAACTTATGGTGGTGGTGGTGGAAAACGGGCCCACCAACCCCAGACACCCCCCCGCAGCAGGAGTTCCTCGACGCTCAGCTCCACGACCTCCGCGCGCGCCTCGTGCTCGAGCACCACCGGCGCTCGACGCAGCCAACCGCTGCCGGCGCCGGCCTCCGCCTTAACAAGTCGGGCGCCGCCGCAGCTCGGCGGGGTCGAGGCGGGGATCGTTCAGCACCGGATCACGGACGCCTTGCATGCGATCACGGACGCCTTGCATGCCTCAGGGATTTGGTTCGAATTCGCCTCTGCATCTCAAGTGCGCGCTCTCGCCAACCGTGACATGAGCTCGGCAGTCGTTGCCAGGACGCCGATCTGGCATTTGCGAGGGTCGATGCAGCGTCGACGAGGGTCCGTTTAGCATCGACGAGCGTCGGCAAGCGTGGGTTGGTGTCGGGTCGCAAGAGCCGACGAGACGGTATGGGGTATGGGATGCCCCCGTGGCCTGTGTCTCTTACCCAGAGGAATCGAGGAGGCCAGATTCAAGCAGAGGCGAAGTGTCCAGACCAGCTTCACCGCCAAGGGTCTTTAGTTTTGGTCCCCCCCTTCTCTCTCGTTGGTGGATTGGTCCTAGAGCCTCCCCCTCCTCCTCCTCCTCCTCCTCCTCCTCCTCCTCCCTCCTCGTCGTCGTCGGCTGTCGTCGTCGCTGTTGCGCGGCGTGTGCCGCGGACGAAGCAATAGTTGTTGACGCTTCGCGTGTTTCCACGAGCCTAGATCCGCTCGTAGCCCGAGCTGACTTGACTCGCCGCTGGCGCCTTCACCTGCGGTTGCGACAAAAAATGTATTTCCACCAGCCCATCCAGAAACGATGCCCAGGGGAGTTGAGGTGATCAGGGAAGTGGAGGAGCATCCAGAAGAACAAAGGGCGGGGGAAGCCGTCATATACACCAAGAGTGGGAGGATGGAGGAGGAATCGTCGTCGTCGGAGGAGGAGGAGGAAGAAGAAGAGGAGAAGGAGGAGGCGGAGTAGGGCCAGAGTTGGGTACCTCGGGGATCCTCTTAAGGCCTCGTATGAGGTCTCTTGGGAGCCTCTTGGAGGCCTATTGGGGCCGTCTGGGCGCCTCTTGGGACCCTCCTGGGGCGCTTTTGGGAGCTTCAGGGGCGCTCTTAGTGCCATCTTGGAGGCCACCTCAGAGGGGAGCTCCAATTTCTCTCCCCCCTCGAGAGCACCGAACATCGCCTCCTGGACCCCTCTTGGAGCGCTCTTGGGGCGCTCTTGGGAGCTCTGGGGGCCGTCTTCGGGCTCTCTTGGACCTCTCCTGGGGCTCTCTTGGGCCATCTTGGAGTCATCATGAGGCCTCGGATTGCGATCGGAAGCGAAACTGCGAGAAAGCAATCATCATTGATTTTCCTCAGGTTTTTGAAGGATTGGCTTCTCGGGGGCTTTGCCGTTCCGCATCGCCCATGCATCGGCGATGCGACTCCTTATGGAGCCAGAATTTCCCCACGTCGATGTCGCCGATGGTTCGCCGACGTCGGCAACACCGGTGATGCATCGGCAATGTGGCGCGATCCCCAAATCCCATCCACTCGGACCCCACTTTGAGGCCTATAGGCATGCTCGCGTCGTAAAACAAAAAGCACGATGGGGGTGTTTGGCAGTCTTCGGCCCCTGGACCGTCAAACTTTGCCTGGACTGCGAAACCAGCCCCGGGAAATGAGTCCAGACTTCCAGGTCATTGCATGTCTGGTCCGTTCGAAGAGTTGTATGCTATACCAGCCCCGGGGGGGCGAACGAGGGTCCTGGTCGTGGATCTGGTATTACAAATGCCCTCCCTGGGGCGTGGTTTTTGTATACTGAAAGTGTCCCCAGGCGTTGCAGTCTGACTGGGGCGGGGAGGGTATGGTGTATACAGGCAGCATCTTCAAGATCCGGGGTCGCGTACGATCAATCCCCTCGATCCTCGAGCTTCGCTTCGCTTCTCCTCCTCCTCCGCCTCCTCCTCCTCCTCATCCTCCCCCATCGCCCATCGCTCTCCTATCCTCCGCCCCAGGCCTGCTGGCTAATAGCCTCGAGCTCACAGGCGACTATCCCGCCCCAGGGTAGTCAGAAGGGGAAAACACACACACACAGACACAATCAGTCGTCGACTCTCAGGAAATTATGGGAAGTGGGGGGGAGACGAAAACCCAGAACATACAGGAAAATGTGGGGGATCCTCGAATCTGTGTTGATGTATTCGTGTGTCCCTGGGCCCCCGTAAGCAGGGCAGTGCGCAGCAGCGTGCTTGTGGCTGGGATCGGCCGTCCGCCGACGCCTGCCGGAGGCGCCGCCGCGGGCGCCCGCCCGTCGAGGAGCGCCGAGGCCTCGCACCGAGTGGGCACCCCTCCAACGCGTCCTCCCGCGAGCGTCGGAGCTTCGGCCTCCGTGGAGCTCCACCCTGCCCCCCCCCTCCCTTTTCTTCCGCCCGAGCCAGCCCTGACTCCTGCCTCCCCCGCTCTCCGGACTCCTCCCCCTGGGCGCTCACGAAGGGGCTGGCCAGCTCGGGGTTCCCTCGCGCAGCCCCGAAGACGAGCAAGCACAGAGATATATAGAAAAGAATCGGAGCTCCGCGGGGACGTCTTGGATCGAAGCTGTGAAGCCCCAGGCTGCGCTTCCGGCGCCGCCCAGGAGGAGGCGGAGGAGGACCTCCTCATCCTCCCTTCTCCCCCGTCCTACAGATGGTAGTAGTGGTGGAAAGTTTGCCCATCAATCTCGCTTCACCTCCGCTTCTCCCCCCCATGTCGCCCCGACCTCCGACGTCGTGATCGCTGTTCGTAGCACGGCCCCCCGCAGAGGTCATCCCGAGGCGTTCTCGGACGAACCCAGGCCCAGGGACGGTGAGGAGGGGCCCCCAGGGGCAGACGAAAGTGCAACGAAAGCAGCATGGCGAAAGACCCAGCCCAAACCAGCTGTGAGCAGAGCAGGATGATGATGATGACGACGCTCTCCTCCTAGGCAGCTCGATGCGAAATGGGAGAGGCTCTTGGTGGGGCCGCGAAACGCGTGAGGCGGTGTGAAGAACTTCGCGGGTGAGGCCGTATGCGGTACCCTGCTGCCGAAGCCCTCGGAGGAGCTCCCTGCGGGGCCGCGAGATGCGCGAGAGGTGTACCGAAATGGACGGGGCGGCACCTTGCTCCCGAGGCCGTCGGTGGAGCCCTCTGCGGGGTCACGAAACGCGTAGGAGCCTGCCGACGTTGCTGCGGGAACCGAATGCGGTCTTGCCTGCTGGGGTCTTCGGTGGAGCTCCCTGTGGGGCCACGGACGTGTGTGCGTGTGTGTTCGTGTGCGTGTGCGTGTGCGTGTGCGTGTGTGTGTGTGTGTGTGTGTGTGTGTGTGCGTGTGTGCGTGTGTGCGTGTGTGCGTGTGTGGTATGCAGGAATGTGCGGGAGGGCCACATGCGGCCATTGCCTGCTGGAGCCGTCTGCTCAGCGACGTGCGAGGGGTGCGCCAGACTTGGCGGGGGCCGCTCGTGGCCTTGCCCACCGAGGCCTCTGGTGGGAGCTCGAGACGAGAGGAGGCCTTGCCCACCGGAGGCCTCCCTGAGGCCACTGGAGGCCTCCCTGTGGAGTGTCGGGACGGGCGGGGGGATCGCATGTGGCCCAGACGATTGGGGCCTTCGGTGGAGCTCCCTCCACGAAGCGTCTGAGGGGTGCTCCGAAATGGGCGGGGGGGGGGTCGCATGTGGCCTGGCCTTCTGGGGCCATGTATGGAGCTCCCTGTGGGGCCACGACACGGGTGACGGGTGTGCCGACGTGGGCATGCGCAGGATAGAGGAAGGATGGGAGGGAGGGATGGAAGGAAGAGGAGGAGGAGGAGGTGGAGGAAGAAGAGGAGGAGGAGGAGGACCAGTGTAAACCCAAGAGCCTTCAACGATGTTGGAATTTACCCTCCCTCCAAGCTCCCTCTTCATAGACTCCTACAACGGCTCTTTCCCATTGAGGGAACAACCGGTTGAAGATCCTGAAGCATGCCAAGACATTGTTATCGGGATCTCAACGCCACGTATCAACCTGACTGCTGCGTTTTGACGATCGAGAATCGTGCCAGATCGTCATTTTTGGGATGTCGACACCGCGAACCAACATAATTGCTGCACCCGCGTAATCCAGAATCGTTCCAAAACACCATACCTGGTACGCTGACCATGGGAATCCGTGAGACTTTTGAGAATATTAAAAACGATAGTGCGCGGCGCTCAGGCGAGGGCCACATTTTGAAAAGGAACCGCCCTCACTCCGTGAAACGCTGGCAATTTGTAACAACCAATGTGCGCGGCGCCAAGGCGAGAGCCACATGTTGAAAAGGAGCCGCCCTCAATCCGTGAAGCCCTTGCGAATTTTGAAGACGGGGTTAAAAGCAAGGAACTGCCCGACTGCTTCACTGCTGCTGCTGCCGTTCCTGCCCCACCTGCGCGTCCCGTTCATCCCCCCTCCCCTCCTCCCTCCTCGTGGTCGTCGTGTGTTACGAGGGCGTGCCTGGCCAAGCCTGGCCTTCGCCATGAAGCCCAGGGATCCTCATCTTCCTGGGCGTACCTCCTCCACCCCGGGTGGTGACGAGCAGACGGTTATGACAGGGGTGGCGAAGCGTCTGCTTGGCACGAGCACCCAAGACGGCATCGCAGTGGACGCGGCCTTCCCCCCCCTCCCGGCGGCGGCGGCGGCAGAGACGGCGGCCGTGGCGACGGCGGCCCGGGCCCGCCGTCGCGCGCCCCGCTCCACCAGAGGGGGTTGCCATCGCTCGGACGTGTGCCTTTTTTTGTCTTGGCGGGGACCATCGCTCGGAGCGCGTGCTCACCCCGATTGGGGAGCATGCACGCACGCAGCCGACAACACACGCGCGGGGGAGTGGACGCCCGAGCGATGGCGAGAGACGGCGGCGGTGGCGGCGGCGGTCCAGGCCCGCCCTCGCGCGCGGAGGAGGAGGAGGAGGAGGAGGAGGAGCAGGAGCAGGAGCAGGAGCAGGAGCAGCAGCAGCAGCAGGAGCAGCAGCAGCAAGCAGCAGCAGCAACAGCAGGAGGAGGAGGAGGTGGAGGAGGAGGGGGAGGAGGAGGAGGAGGAGGAGGAGGAGGAGGAGGAGGGAGAACCCGCTGCATCCGAGGGGGGCGTGCGCGGTCGGTCCCGAGCGATTGCGAGGGGCGGCCGGCGCGGCGGTCCGAGGCCCGGAGGACGCGCTGCGCGCCTGCGCCCAGCAGGCGCAGCAGGCGCAGCAAGGGGGGGCGATGGGCTTGTGTTCCACCACCACCATCGTAAGTTGGAGTGGAAGGGGATCCTCCTCATCCTCTTCCTCCACCTTCTCCTCCTCCTCCTCCTCCTCCTCCTCCTCCTCCTCCTCCTCCTCCCCCTATACTAATACCAGCGCCAACTATCTTATTGATTCAATTGCTTGCTTGCCCAATTCGAACGTATTGAATTGGTTGCTGTCAGAACGGGATACATACGAGGAGCCAGATTTGATGTTGGAGGCCGCCATAAACTGTGTTTGGATCGACCCATCTGGAATCATTGGGAACAGTTTGAGAGGTTGGAGAATTTTCAGAATTCAACGTTCAGAAACGCTTGGGGCGCGAAGGCCTTCTTTTGTTCAGTCGGTACAAGGCGATATGCCCGTTTTTGATACTAAGCCGATACCACCCTCAGATGTCTCGTTCGGCCCCTGCAGCGAGGAGAGTGGACAGAAACAGGTTCCTGGAGGCCGCTTGCATATGAGTGGTGATGGACATGCGAAGAGTGATACACATGAGTTTTATGCGGTGTTAATGAGTTGCACGATTCTGGAGCCTGGCGGGCCCGATGCGGTCCAAGAAGGAGCACCCCTCCAGAGCCTGATACGATGCTGGACGCAACGCCTTTGAACACACATTGTTTGCATAGTGATTACGTATTGTTGTTTGGTGTTTGTAATGCGTTGCACGATTCTGGAGCCTGGCGGGCCCGATGCGGTCCAAGAAGGAACACCCCGCCAGAGCCTGATACGATGCATGACGCAACGCCTTTGAACACACATTGATTGCATAGTGGTTACGTATCGTTCACCCCCACAGTGGAGAAGGGGTCTAGTATTGTTGCCCCTGGGCGTTACATTGCACGTGATACCACAGGGGCATCAAGGACAAGTATTGTACACTGAAGACGACGAGACAACGTGAATAACACATGCAGCGACAATATTTGATACACAAAAAGCTCGTACATGATGAAAACAACACTATCCACATTATAGAGATTTTGTATGGCAAGTGAAAGAGGCACGCCGAACGGAAGCATAACATGAGTATTCGGGATTGCAGGCAGCTCATAGCGACATCGACGAAGTGATTGAGCAACTGGTCGTGGGCACGAGGGTGATCATCGCACGCAGGGGCAAGTGCGGCAACGTGTTGGCACCAAGCATTCCAAACAATGCGAAATTGTTCCGCGACCCAGGCCCGACAAAACGGCGCGCATTTGGCGCGTCGAGAAATCGTGATCACAATAAAAGCGCTGACTGGCTCCTCTCCAGTGCCACTGGATACTGCGGCTGTCGCCGTCCCGCGGCTGTCCCCGCGTTCTTTCCTCTCCCACGTTGGTCGGGGGTTTTCGGTTCTTGCTGGCTTGGCGGTTCCCTCGGCTTTCCCCTCTCCTCCCCCTCTCCTGCTCTCCGCGCTCCTTTATCCCCTTTGGGGTGGTGGAGTGCTTTAACACGGATTGTGGAGGAGTGGAGGCGGGGGAGAGAGGGGGTGTGGGAGAGAGAGGGCCTTCAACAGGCTCCGCTCGCCAACGACGAGCGCGGGCAGCGGGGGGCCTGCCCGCGTTTCAGTCCTGCTACCTCGAATGCGGGGTCTCCCGCTAGCGGGGCACGGAGACCACGCCCCAGGGAGGGCGGGCTCCGACGCCCCAGGCAGCTCCCAGGCCAAGCGAGTCCTGGCCTGGGGCTTGCATCCGCATGTCTCCCAAGGGGCCCCACTTGAGTTCCAAAGCCCCCGAGGGGCTGTCGAGGCCACGGACCCCCCCTTATGGGCTTTTACCTTTACCTCCTCCTCCCCCTCCTCTTCCTCCTCCTCCTCCTCTTCCTCCTCGTCCTCCTCCCCCTCCCCCTCCTCCTCCTCCTCCTCCTCCTCCTCCTCCTCCTCCTCCTCCTCCTCCTCCTCCTTCCCCACACCAAGTCATGGCGGTGGTTGTGGAAAACATTCCGTAGCCATTTTGGCTCATGCCTTTCCGTTGGCCCCCTGCTCCTGGACCGTGTCCCCCGGCGTACCCCGAGACCCCAGTTTCACGGGGCATCTTGGCGGGCGTGAAGGACTTGGGGGAGTGGGGCTTTTGGCTCTCGGGGATGGCGGCGGCGGGCGGCCCGACAGCGTGGCGGCCTTCATCGCAACGGCAGGCTGACATCGACTCCCTGGGCCCGACGGCGGCTCGCCGTGCCGCTCGAAAGCGGCGGCAGGCTGCTGTTGAGGCGGCCATCGGCCGCCGCGCTGGCGCAGGTGGCGAGCCTGGCTCATGGCGCGACCGCGAGCTCGCGTCTAGGCCTGCCCTTCAGTGCGCGGCCAGCGGGCGCCGCGTCCCTTCAAGCTCCAGGCGGCGCCGCAACGCCGCTTGGCACGCCGCGCGGGTGCCGCCTGGAGGCTTCGCTTCGGCGTCCGCCAGCGGCATCGCTTGGGCGGCCGCCGGCCCGTGGCTGGGCTGGGAGGCGGGGCTGCCCTTCGGCCCTGTCCCGGCACGGCGGCACGGGCTTCGGTGCTCGTGCGGGGCAGTCGTCTTCAGCTCGGCGTTCGGCTTCGAGGGCGAGGACGGCTTCATGGAGTCGGGCCACCCTGGCAGTGAAGGGTTTCGTGGCGGTATGTTTGGAGATCTTCCTGCTGGGGATCTGGGTGTCCGCATTGCTGCTGGAGTGCCTGCTGCTGTACTCCCTGCTCCACTGGTGCATCCTCCTGCAGAGGACCCTGGTTTTCTGGCTCAGGCGTTCGGGGCTCACGGTGTGTCGGACGATCGGCTGGTACTGGAGTCTTCGACGGAGGTCCGCCCCAGTGCGCATGGGACGGAGGTGGCGGGCATTCGCGGCAAGGACGTCTACGACGGGGACGACGCTGGAGCCCACGGCGCAGGTGGTGCATCTGCTGATGTGCGCCCTGATCGTCTGGTCGAGCGGCTCTCTGGCGAGCATGCTGGCCTTGTGGTGGGTGTCGGGGTCCATGAGGCGTCGACGGTGCTGCTGGCGGCAGGAGCTCTTCGGGGGGGCAGCTCCCAGTGATCGGGGGGCACGTTGATGCGGGCACGAGCGCACGGGCTTCGATGGCGTGACCGACGTCTTCGCCTGTTCGTTGTTCGAGGTGGCTTTCATCACGGTGGCCTTCCTCAGCCTGTTCTCGGTCCTTTCGGTCCACTACTGAGGACGGCGCAATTGCGCGTGTTTCAAAACTCTGGCCAGTACGCGTGCGGCTGGTCTTTGTCAGGACAAAAAAAAGTGGTGGAAAACAAGCCCATCAGGAGGGGGCGGAGGGGGGGGCAGGGCGCAGCCAGCTCAAGGGCAACATCGGGCGAGGATACTGTCGTCCCGCACAGCATCGAAGGAGAACAAAACGCCAGAAACATATATTTTTTGGCGCCCCACGCGGATTTCTTGCATCGGCGCATGGGACCCCCGGCGGCGTCTCCGGCGCCAGAGAGGTGGGTCCAGCGCAGATCCAAGAATCCGCGCGGAGCGCAAAATTCATGTTCATGTCGGCTTTCTCTTCTGTAGTAGGATGAACGACTCCGAGGTCCACCATGTATCATTCCCCCTTCGGCACATGTTCGGCCACTTTCGCGCTGGCCGCGCCGCGCTCGTACGTCCTGCTTGCGCGGGTTTATTCTAAATCGAGAATATCTGAGGGCCGGCGGTTCTGGAGGATGTCTCGTGCGCCGCGGCCTTCTCAGAGCTTTCCAGGACGCTCTGAAAACGTTATGGAAGGCTCCGGAACGGATGTATCCTCGTCCTAGCCCCGTCCGAAGTGGGGGGGCGGGGGCAAGAGGTGGGAGGAACTTGAGATCCTAGCGCCTCATTTTTGTTCGAGTCGGTCGCGCTTCCATTTCTTCCGTCCCTTGTGTGACGAAGGGACAGTGGGGACGGTGGGACAGCGCAGTGGGACAGCGGCGGGGACACTGGGACAGTTTTGGGTACAGGGGGGACAGTGGGACAGTGGTGGGGGCTGTAGGGAAAGTGGGGTGAGCGTGACCGCGGTGGGACAATGGTGGGGAGAGTGGGGACAGTGAGACGCTGGTGGGGGCACTAGTGGGGACAGCGGGGACAATGGTGAAAACAGTGGGGACAGTGGGACAACAGTGGTGGAGACTGTGGGACAGTGGTGGGGACGGTGGTATTGGGGACAGCGGTGTGGGGACAGTGGGAATGTGGTGGGGACAGTGGGACAGTGGTGGGGACAGTGGTGAGGGCGATGGCGAGGACGGCGGTGGGACAATGGGACAGAGGTACAGTGGGGACAGTGGTGGGGACAGTGGTGGGGACAGAGGTAGGGACAGTGGCGGGGACAGTGGGACAGCTCAGTGGGACAGTGGTGGGGACAGTGGGACAGTGGGGACAGTGGCAGAGTGGTTGGGGCCGTGGGGAATGTGGGGAGACTGGGACCGTGGTGGGAACAGTGGTGGGGACAGTGGGGACAGTGCGACAGTGGTGGGGGCACTGGTGGGGACAGTGGGGACGGTGGTGGGTGGGGACAGTGGTGGTGAGGACAGTGGTGCTGGGGACAGCAGTGGGGGGGGATTGTGGTGCGGGCGATGGTCGAGACCCTGGAGTCGTTTTCCAGCGGTGAGCGCGGGGAGGGGGAGGGGTTCGAACCGGTAGTGACCCCCCCTGGTGTTCTGGAGGGGGAGGGGGTTTGAACCGGTAGTGACCCCCCGGTTTTCCGGAGAGGGGGGGGGGGGGTCGAACCGGTAGTGACCCCCCCCCCTGGTTTTCCGGAGAGAGGGGGGGGGGGTCGAACCGGTAGTGACCCCCTTCCGTTTTCCCTGAGGAGGGAGGGGGTCAAACCGGTAGTGACCCCCCCCCGGGTTTTCCGCAGGGGGGTTCAAACCGGTAGTGACCTCTCCGGTTTTCCGTCCGGAAGGGGGGGGGATTGGGGGGGGGGTACCGGGGGGAAGGGGGGGGTCCAGCAGGGGGGGGGGGGGTCGGAAGGGGGGGGGACCCCCGGGTTACGGAGGAAGACGGGGGGAATTTTCCACAGTAAAGCGGCGGTGGATCACGCTCTCTCTGATCTCGACATCGTCGTCGTCCGCGCAGTGGGGAAAAAATGAGGGCGAGAAGGAGAAACCTTCTTCGGACCTGCTCTGGGCCTCCTGGGGGGCTCCTGGGAGCCTCCCTGGGTGGCCTCTCGGGGGCCTCTTGGGGGCCTCCTGAGGCCCTCATTGGGAACTCTCTGGGCCTCTTCGGCTGTCTCAGGGGCTTCTCAGCACGTCTGATGCCCTCGGAGGCCGTCTGTGAGCCTCTCTGGGCCGTCTGCGCTGGTGGTCAGTGCGTGCAGCGGTGCTGGCACGCGTCGCGCCGCCGCCCCGTCCCCCACCCCGCCCCCGGGCAGGCTTGGCCTCCAGAGGCCGCAGACCTGCCCTTGCTGCCGAACCAGCCGGAGGTCCCTGGCGGGGCAACGCGGCGAGCGACGTGCGGTCTTGGCGTTGGTTTGGCCGAGCAGTGGCGAAGCACCCTGGCTTTATGTCGGGCCTGTCCCCCTAGAGGGGGAGTTTCGACGAAACAAAAAAAAATGCCTTAAAAATACCCCAAGAAGGTCAACACATAATCACAAAATAGCCCTTGGACTATGTTTGGGATTCTATTTTGGTTTTTGTTTTGGCATTTTTTTATTTTTCGTCGAAAACCCCATGTAGGGGGACGTGCCCGAGTTAAGCCTGGCTTGCCTATACGCCCAAAAAAATGTTCTAAGGCCGTTTGTGGTCTGCACGAGGTGCTCTTAGAGTATTTCTGGCCGGGGCTGTCTCGTTTTGACACATCGGCCTCATGTTCTAGGAGCCTGTTGTCGTTATTCGAGCGTTTTTGAGGCGCTAAGAGCATGTCGTGGTAGGCCTGTAGGAGAAAGCTGGGACGGTCGGTCCCTGCCCAACTTGGAGGCTGAGGTGTCCCAGCATTGGTGCCGGCCAGCAGAATCGGGGAAGCGTAAGACACGAGTAAGCCAGGACTCGGGCTCGACGACGTTTTTCTGACGAGCGCGTCCTGGACGATCCGGTTTTCGTGGGATGTTTGCAGCGGGAGGTCGCGTCAAATTTCAGATTGGGTCTCGTCATTTTCATGATGGCCCCGTCAGGCCGAACTGAGACCCCCGTATCCGAGTCTTACGTCTCCCCGGCAGAAAGAGGGGAGACATGGGCCCCTTCGTGGCCATGGCCGAGCGCGGTTCAATGAGCTGGTCCAGCTTTGATTTCCAGGAGGGGTCCAGGGACAGATTTAGAGGGGTTTTGCCATCGTCCACCAGTCTCGACAGATTGTGCAGGGCTTACGGCCGGCGCCGCCGACCCCGACGGGGGACGACGACCACAACGGCGATGTCGGCGGCGACGACGACGCTGACGTAGGGCAGAGTCCTCAGTGATGCTTCGTGTGACCTCTTCGGAGCGCGCTCGTAGGCTTCTGGGGGGCAGTTTTGGGGACTCGTGGGTGCACCTTGGGGGCCTCTTGAGAGCCTCTTGGGGGTCCCTTCGGGCTTCCTGGGGGCCTCTTGGGGGCATCTTTGGAATCGTTGGGGCCTCGTGGGTGCCTCTTAGGGCCTCTTGGGAGCCTCTCGGAGCCGAGAGCTCGAAATGTTCGTTCGGGCCGTGTGGGCACCCTCTTGGAGCCGTTTTGGGGGCAGCCCGTCTGGGAGGCCTCTATGGTCGTCTTGGGAGCCCTCTTGGGTCGTCTTGGGGCCGTCTTGGAAACCTCTTGGGGGCCTCTCGTGCCGACCTTGGTAGCATCTTGGACCGTCTTGGGGCGTCGGGAAGCCGCTTTGTTTCCGCTTTGGCTGGCTCGATTGATGAGGAGGAGGACCCAGCGAAAGGGGGGGGGGCAGCGGCGACGGGTCCAGGAAAGGGTGTGTCAAACGCGACACAAGGACGACGACGACAACGACGACAAAGACGACGACGATGACGACGATGACGACGACGACGACGACGTCGAGTCAAACAGAACATTGTCTTCCACAAGCCGACAGGGTCGGCGGAATGTTTCTGGGCCTATCCAGCTCAGAAACCCTGGCCGCCTCCATTTTCGATCCATCCGCTTGGTACTGGCCCCCCACAGCCTGGGTCCAGGGACCCAGATCGGCACCGATTTGATTTGTTCAATCCAGGCCTGCGTGTTTCCTCGATGTCGGAACCTGGCGCCCGCAGACAATCAACAAACATTCTGGGACGCAAAACTACAGTCGGACCGAGGTATAAGATCGCGGTCGGTTCGGGGAGGGTACCCTCATGTTTTTCGTGTTTGCAGGATGCTCTTGTGCATCCTGGGGAGGGTGGGTATCCTTGGATGTTCTGTGCGTTTGGGAGGGCGGAGGGTCTCATGTTCTTAGTGGGCGTTCTCCTGGCATAGGTTCGACTGTACCCCTGGGAAGGGATCGGAACCCCTGGGGCAGCGCATGGAACATGGAAACAATCACGTCGTCCAATGTCTGGGGGCAGGGCGTGGATCAACAGGTTGGTCTCCAGAGGCCGGAGTCGCGCTCGTGCTCCCAACCCGCCCATTCGCAAAGTTGTGGCGTGAGCAGGGATGTTTAGGAAGTGCTGCTGGGATCGAGTCTGAAGACGCCCCCAGAAAGCGCCAAGAGAGCTCCAAAAGCGGTCCAAGAGGCCTCCAAGTCAGCCAAGAGCGCTGAAAGACGCCCACGATGGCCTCAAGATGGAGGTCGCGCGGACGTCATCGGCGGTCTTGTTTGCCCCGCCTCCCGTTTGTTTTCTTTTTGCGCACTACAGCGCTGGGAATACATTTTTTGCTAATGTCCAAAACAGGTTTTTAACAAACATACCCCCCCCCCCCGGATCCCGACTGCCATTAATTCGCATCCGATTTTTTGTAGAACAAAAAATCACGCACGCCGATCGATGCCCTTTGTATATACCTGAGTACCAAGGAGAATGCCGATGGGGATGTCCCCGTCTTCCGATCAGTGGGTTTTCGCCATTGGGTTTTGGAGTTCAACATGGCTCCCGTTGCACACAATCTATCAGCGGCATGCCGCCGCCACGCGCGCGTTGGCGATTGGTATTTGTGCATTCGGTATCGTATATCAACATTGGGGATGTTCCCGATTTCCGATCAAAGAATGAATTTTTACATTGGGTTTTCGCCATTGGGGTTTTGGAGTTCAACATCGCTCCCGTTATATAAAAATGTTGCAGCGGCATGCCGCCGCCGCGCGAGCGTTCACGATTGGCATTTGCGCATTCAGTGTCGTATATCCACATGTGGATGTTCCCGTTTTCCGATCAGAGAATAATTTTTTAGATTGGGTTTTCGCCACTTGGTTTTTGAGTTCAACCTCGCTCCCATTGTATCAAATCTATCAGCGGCATGCCGCCGCCGCTCGCGCGTTGGCGATTGGTATTTGTGCATTCGGTATCGTATATCACCATTGGGGATGCTCTTGTCTTCCGATCAGAGATGAATTTTTAAATTGGGTTTTCGCCATTGGGTTTTGGTGTGCAACATCGCTCCCGTTGAATCAAATCTATCAGCGGCATGCCGCCGCCGCGCGCGCGCTCGCTGGCGATTGGCATTTTTGCATTCAGTGTCGTATATCCACATGGGCATGTTCCCGTCTTCCGATCTGAGAGTTCTTCCCAGAAGGTGCTCGAGCCCAGGGTTCTCTTTTAGTGGGTGTACCCCCCAGTTTCGACGGCTGGAGGGCCGGCCGGCGAAATTATTCTGCGATGAATTACGTGCGGGAGAAGGGCCGGCGAGTTAAACATTGAGGACGTCTCAAGCGAAACGCTTGTTTTTCAGAATGTGTTGAGGATGTCTCGAGCGAAACGCTGGTTTTGCAGAGTTGGGGATGTCTCGAGCGAAACGCTTGGTTTCAGAATTTGTTGGGGATGTCTCGAGCGAGACGCTGGTTTTGCAATGCCGACCGCGACACGGAAAAGCGCCCCTCGCGCAGGAATTCTGAGGATGTCTCGCGCGTGCCGCGCCCCGCGCGCAGGAATTTCGATTTCTTGGGATTTTGACAGGGTGTCTCGAGCGAAACGCTTGTTTTTCAGAATGTGTTGGGGATGTCTCGAGCGAAACGCTGGTTTTGCAGAGTTGAGGGATGTCTCGAGCGAAACGCTTGCTTTTCAGAATTTGTTGAGGATGTCTCGAGCGAAGCGCTGGTTTTGCAGAGTTGGGGTATCTAACATGGCGTCGGGCCCAACGCCGAATTATTAAGAAAAGTGATGGCTTTTTGCTCTGAACAGGGGGGTGCGCTTTGGGGGCCTCTCCAGGGAAGACGTTTTGAGGATGTCTCGAGCGGGAGCGCGAATTCAGCGTATCCAAGTCACGCAGAGGGGTATCTAACATGGCTGTCCCGAGCTGGAACCACGTGTTTTTTCATGCTCAGGCCACCCAGGGAGATCTCTAACATGATTGCCCCGAGCTGGAACCACGTGTTTTACGTGTCCAGGCCACCCAAGGGGTATCTCTCATGGTTGTCCCGAGCTGGCACCGTGTTTTTACGTGTCCAGGCCACCAACACGACGCTTGTCCCCAGCACGTTCTGTAGCGCGTCCGCTTGGCACGTCTCGCGGTGCGTCCCCGTGGCACGTCCCCTGGCACGTCGCCTGGCGCGTCACTTGGAACGTTTCGCGGCGCGTCTTCCTGGCATGTTTCCTTGTCAATTAGCTCTGCGGCAGCTACTGCGTGGACTATGTGCTCAGGCAGCTCGAGCTTAAGATCCAGATCAGTTCGGTCAGGACTCGGATGCAACGGAGGACTCGATCCACAACGCTGTAGAGCACAATCGCGGCATGGCACATCGCAGGTCAGCACGGCGCAGCACAACACAGCCCTCGGCACATTACATCAAGATCGGTACACTCACTCAGCATTGCAACTTGGCACGTTCTTTGGCACGTTCAGTGGCGCGTCCTGTGGCGAGTCCCCTTGGCACGTCGCGCGGCGCGTCCCCTGGCACGTCCCGTGGTACGTCCATAATGCATTGGCACGTTCCGTAGCGCGTCTCTTTGGCACGTCCCGCGGTGCGTCCCCATGGCACGTCCCCTGGCACGTCGCTTGGCGCGTCCCTTGGAACTTTCTGCGGCGCGTCTTCCTAGCATGCCCCCCGTGAATTAGCTCTGGGGCAGCTACTATGTGCTCAGGCAGCTCGAGCTTAAGATCCAGATCAGTTCGGTTAGGACTCGGATGCAAAGGAGGACTCGATCCACACCGCTATAGAGCACAATTGTCACGTGGCACATCGCAGTTCAGCACGGCGCAGCACAGCACAGCCCGCGGCGCGGTACATCAAGATCGATACATTCACTCAGCATTGCAACTTGGCACGTTCTTTGGCACGTTCCGTGGCGCGTCCTGTGGCGAGTCCCCCTGGCACGTCGCGCGGCGCGTCCCTTGGCACGTCCCGTGGCACGTCCATTGGCACGTTCCGTA